TGATAGGCAGTCAAATGGAATATATTGTACATATATATAACCTTGGCCAAAACATGGATGCGCATGTCAAATTATCTTCAACTTTGTATTTGATCTGCGGACTTTAAATTTGTTGGGAACTGTAGCCACAATATCCAGCTCCCTATCCATGTCAAAAATCCGAGAATTTCTTTCTAGAAAGGGACTCATACTCGAGATTTAGCATAAGTCATATCATAGCTGGCCCAGGGTTCGCTGACAGGCAGTCAAATAGTGCACAGAATGTCTCAAACTAAACGCATATGGATATGTCAAATTATTTCAACAAAAGCAAATCATCCTATTGCCTTTATTGTCGTATGGCTTGGAATATACATTGAGGTAAGAGCCGTTATACAGGGTGATTCAGAAAAAGCGGAACCAAAATCCCATAAAGTATATTTCATATTTAAAAGAATATTTAGCACCGACAACAATAATGAATGAAAAGCCAATTTGATAAGCTACTTTTTTATTTTAAAAAAATATACAAATTGCTCAATCCGTTCAAAGAACATCACCATTTACTGAACACAATGACCCTAAAACCCGTCTCGTCAAAAAAAAGCCATTCATTGTGTGTTTTGAGTGTTTGGAACAACAACGAAAATGACACAGAATACATATATCAAAAACTACTATCAACTGTAGCATATCTTTATTAACAAATCTGGCAAACAATTTAATTAATAAAATATACTTTTTAAAGGACGGGCCTTCAAAAGAATTCTGTTGAATATGTTTTATCGTTTATACTGAGATTTAATCGCTGGTGATGTTTGAAGAAAGATGCGATGACGATTCTTGAATTCGCATGGGGGGGGGGACGAGACAGGTTTTAGGGTTATTGTGTGTAAATGATGATATTTTCTAAACGGATTGACTAATTTCTTTTTTTTTCATCAAACAGTACCTTGTGAAATTGGCTTTCTAGTCATTATTATTTTGGGTGCTGCATATTTGTTTAAATATGAAATATAATGTTTTGGGGTTTGGTTCCGCATTTTGTTGTACTCACCCTGTAACATTATTAAAAACAATAATTCAGTAACATAAGAAGTGCAAACACTTACCAGACTCAGCAGTGTTGAAGAATTTCTTGAGTAGCTGCGACGTTGAACCACATCAGCTTTATCAGCCTGCCATGCATGATAGCGTCCGAGGGTTACAGGGAAATTGATGAACGGATGCCCGTGAAAACCCTATAGCTAGCAACGGCAAAACGATCAAACGGTCTTTTTAAAAGGTGTTGTTTAAACAATTTTTAACAATGTTCATTGCTTCCTTATTCAAGGCCACTATCCTATATCACTTCTCCAATAAAGGGCCATACAGAAGGTTAACACCTTGAGGCCATTTCTTTTTACAATTAGCATGTTGTTTACAAGGAAGAAAGTGAGCATTATCATGTCTAAAAAAAATCGGAAAGTCGAAAGACGCCAGTATACAAATATAACAATTAACATGTTTAATTTGAGGATGGACAGTCGATATTAGCTCTAACAAGTTTTGGAAGATGATAAAATAGTTCCTAAGGCGAAATTAAAGGGGCACTTCGTCCTGAAAACCACGAAATGTGCATGTTTCTGGTTCTGGTTTAGTCAGTAAAATTCACTCAGGAATATCACATAAAAAAAAAAAATATTGACTTTAAATTAGAATATCGCGCACAAGCACGGTTCCAAAGCGAAAAGATAGTTTTCGAAAAATGTATCAATAACCAATACCTTAAGGATGAGAAATCCCGTGTGCATCCATGTTTAAGAACGGCCTAATTAGCACTAATTATTTACTGTCAATTAAACTTTTGAGCACAAGAGCAAAACCTTTACTTAGGCTGCTTGTGACTATAATGCAAGATCCACAACTTAAGAATAGATTTTCCCGTGCATTTTGTGCTTAAGAACGAGTTAAAGTTCAATAATTAGCCGCTTTCTAAGGTGCTTTTTGTTTAATGTGTTTAAACATTGAGCACAACGATCATTCCAACACCAAATGGTGCGTTACGAGTCAGCGTCTGCAGAATGTCAAGTTAAGAATAAAAAAAAAACTCGTGCAAAATCTGCGAACCGCTTTATTTACCGCGAAATAACGCAAAACCGTAAAGCCCGGTTCATACTTCATGCGAAAGCGAATGCGAAGCGAATTTGACGTCATAAAACATTCGCTGCGAAATTCGCCCGAGTTGAAATATGTTCAACTTTTACGAATTCGCAGCGCGAATACTTGCTACGACGTCACAAGTCGCGTTCGCTTTCGTTTTCGCGTAGAGTATGAACCGGGCTTAACTCTTTTTTTGTGAAATGACGTAATAGCATTGAGGCATACGTATCAGTTTGCAAAACAGCCCCCAAGAATCGCGAAATACCATGACAGTAATTTTAAAAATAAACACGTACCGTACACATGTACTGTAAAATAACAGAGTGTTACACAGTTTTGGAATTACAACGCATTATTTGTAAATTATTCATTCTTTTTCAAAAACTTCTAAATCCCCAGAAACACTCCCACTTCCTGATCTCACGGTATTGTAGAGGTTCCGACTTATGCATAATTATGTATAGGCCTCATTAGTACTTTTTTGGTATCAATCATTTAATTCATAAACAAATAATTATACATATATAGGTTTTCCCCTTCCTCCACTTAAAAGTACACATTCATAACAGTTCCATGGTCTATTTCGATCAAAATCAAAGAATGTCTTGAATCAAGAATCACTCTATAGGCCCTATATGAACCATTATACACATGAATGTATTGATCTGATAATATATGATATATTGCGGTGGGTTTTTTTTACTTTCTTTTTTAAGAAACTGTGCGCCTTTGGTTGGAAAAGTTTAACACTCCATGGACAGCTGTAAAAATTGTGTTACTTTAATTAAACATGCGTATGACTTCCGTTAGTTGGGATCTATGTTTTCCGGATTAGTGGAAAAACATGCCCGTTTAGAACAGCGCTTCTTTGGTGTGTTCAATTCAATAGCAGTTTGTAAAGGGGAAAATCATCGATCCCGGCCATTTTGTATCATCCTTTTTATGCCGAGAGGACTCGCATCAAACTGGGGAGAAAATCCAAATGGCCCTTAGGATCCCTGGCATACTAATGTGTTCGCCATATCATCCTAAATCTCTTGCTTGCTTTCAGGCCTTCTTCGTAATGTATCTCTCTTTAATAATTCAGGCTCCGCCATGAGTGAATCTGCTTTACAGTCCATTCATGTATCAGGTAGGCTTTGATACATCGTCAAAAAATCTAAATACCATGAGAATTGACTAACTGGGCATTATTGCGTAATTCGCAAAATCATGACTATCTCGAATATTTGGGCCGGCATAATATTAATGCATAATATCGTATATTGCACTATGTTACATTGCAGTGGTTTTGCAATGCAGTACGTGGGTAGCGATGCTTTGGTGTGCATTGCGTAATACTTTTTAAGCCGTGCAGAAATCGGCAATTAACTTGTCGTTCTTAAGTGAATTTTGCACGGGATTTTTTATTCGTAAGTTGAAATTCTGCAAGAGCAGACTCATTCATGACTGTTTGGTGTTGGAATGATTGTTCTAATGAACTTAGACATAAACAAATGTTTAGGCGGTGTCCCCTCCCAGACGCACGGGTATGACACTTAAGAATTGCGGTTTTGAAGGTTGGACACCCCACCTACTCGCTGCCGCCATTAAACCTTTTGTGAGAGACCTCAATGGGCTCTCGGATTATATGGGTAAAATACGAACAAGGAAATATTTGAGAGGATTTCTGACCAAGAGGATAACGCAGAAACGGTCACTATTAAGAGCAGGAATTTGAAATCCCCTAACAGACGCAAAATGCTTTGAATGTTGTAATTCCAGGCCATTATAGCAAAAGGGATTTGATTTCGCATCAACGCTGTTTCTTTCAACGGCCTCATAATGTACAATCTCCGTAAAAGTGGGATGCAGAACAATTACTGAAGTGTATAATGCCAACCTTTGGAAATTGCCCAACTATAGGCCTATTTGGATTGAAAAAAAACTATTGCCTGTTGCAGCCGATTTTTTGTTTATTTACGCCATTTGCCCCTTACTGTTTAAAAATATGGCCAACTCCCAGCAATGGCGAAATTCTTGAATTATTTTATTTTCACTTGGGTGAGCAGCTCTATGGGTGAGCTGGCCAAATGCAGAAAAGAAAAGAAAAGGTGAAATTATCGGAATCGTTCTTTGCCGGCGCAGCCCCCCACTTTTTAGCGTCATGACCCGCCCCTAAAAGGGTCAGACAAAATGGCATTAAATGGTTTTGAACTTGTTGAAGTACCGCCTATGCTATATGTGTTGGGAGAGAGTGTACCCAAAAATACATATAGAGTCCGCCCCACTAGAGCACATAGGAAAGGGCGCGCAGTGACGGTTGTTGCAACTATATAGGCTTAGTACTAGTACTTTTTTTCCCGGTCGTCAGAGAGCATTGCCAAAAAAAAAATGTTGATATTTACCCAACTGCATGAAGACCATGATTTTGGAAATTTCAGAGTTGTGAAGAGAAGCTTGAGGAAACTGTAGCTTGAGGAGCCTGCGTCTCCATCTTGTCTCTCAACATTTCTGACATCTTCATGATTTCCTTCCGACGCGGATACAGCCAAAGGTGTTGTATTTACACCGAAGCGGCGGGTAAGAAATTTGAGAGCGCCTGCCACACGTGCTTGTGGAAGAGATGTAAACGAGCCGACCGTCGCATCAGCAGGGCTGCACATTCCTTGCAATTGGCATAAAATAATCATATGGCCATTGCAAATTGACATGAATTGGATATTTGTACATTCCACACACACAAAGATGGAAATGTGGTCCACATTGTAACGTTTTGTAAAAGTGGATACACACAACAAAACGTATGAACCGCGGCCCGCTGGTCCTGTTAAAAGCTTCTTGAAAACTTAAATAACTTGGGGCGTCTGACGCGGATAGAGCGCCCCCAAGAGTCTACCGGCATTCAAGAGTTTTTTGTAAAGTGTTCCGTCATCAAAAAGGGTATACCATCAAAAAGTGCTGAGTGAGAGAATTTACTGTTGTAATGTTCCCTAATGAGAGCTCAGATTGCTTCCAAATAGAACTTATAGAAGCTGTTCAAACTCTCTGTGCAAAATGTTTTTGGACTTTTCAAAGACAGCGTTGGGGAACAAGTTGATGATAGTTCTGCACGTCTACCTGCGATCGATTAAGCCAAAATAGGCATGGTCATGATGGTAGGCCAAGGTACGTGGCGGTAGTAACAACTTACAACTTACAAGTTCGTGCTAGGGCGGGCTCATTATTATACAGACTATGGGCGGGCCATACATACGATTGCACTTGGTTCCATTACTTGACTACCTCCTGCAAGCTGGGAGGGGGTAAGAAAGAATGTTGCAACCGGTAATTTCAGCAACAGCCCCCCCCCCCCCTCCCAGTCCACCAACACGGCAACAAAAAAACACCCCCAAACAAAAGGCTTGCTTTATTTCCTCCTGATGCCAGTGCAATATTTACTCTAGCCATGGCGAAAGGCCAAATAAAAAAAATGAAAACATGTTTAGTGTCCCCGCCTGCTTCCTTTTTGGAGGCCGCCTGCTTCCTTTTTGGAGGGTGCCTCCTTTTTGGAGGCCGCCTCCTTGTTTTGGGGGTTTTTTTACCGAAAAAATTATAAGGCAAAATAAAAAAAAACACATGTTTAGCGTCCTGCCTCTTTGACAAAAAGGAAGGAGGAGGCCCTTTTTTTTTTTTTTCTTTTCAAAATGGCCGCCCGACACATTTTTCAAGACAACGCGGCCGGGCTATTTTTCAAGATGGTTACCAGCTTTTTTCAAAATGGCCTCCACTTGGACTCATTGACTATTTCCACAGCTTTATACACGGTATAAAAGTCTAAAAATACGATTTCTTTCGTCAGATATCGTTAAAATTTATCAATTTTTGTCCTTAAAAAAAAAAAAAAAAAAAAAAAGGAGGCGGCCTCTAAAAAGGAAGCGGGCGGGGACGCTAAACATATTTTTTTTTTTACTTCGCCTAAATTCTGGCCGCTTTGTCTGTTGCATCTAGCCCATATTTTTCCACATATCTAGCCCATATTTCCAGAGTCCAAGTGGCGGCCATTGAAAAAAAAATGCTGGTGGCCATCTTGAAAAATAGCCCGGTCGGGCGGCGATTTTACAGGGGAAAAACAGGGCCTTCTCCTTCCTTTTTTTCAAAAAGGCAGGACGCTAAACATTTTTTTTTTACTTGGCCTAACTTGAAGTTCACCGAGAAGTAGTCAAGTTAAATAACTTTTAATCTATTTCAATATTTGAATATTAGGCCAAATAAACCTATTCGGACACTAACACTGACGACAAGAATGTATATGGCCGAAAAACAGTGACAACACATCAGGACAAGGGACAATTGGACGTGTACACAAGACTCAAACTAGGGGTAGGGCAGGGCAAAATCAACATTTCAACAACAGAAATCTGCACAATTTTTATATAGGGCCTACATGTATTTGATAGAAATGTGAGTCATCGTGCTCACTGTAGTGCGTGAAAAGCACCGCTTACATGTATATTGTTATATAGATGGTTGAACCAACTTGAATAAAAGTTGAATCGCCTTTTTCCTCGCAGACGGTCTTGCAAATTGTAAGAAGTTCAAGTTTACGTTTGTTGAAGAGAACAATACTGAAACTTAATTATGACCTGCCTCCATGATTCAGACCGTTTGTAATTTTATGGTAACACTCAACATTTTCATTTCAAATGACACCTTCATGTTTTATTGCATTATGATTTATTGTCAAAACTGTACAATCAGCCTTCGCCTGTGTACTACAGTAACCTTTTCACTACGTTTTCCAAATGCGACTGCCTCACAAATGCGACTGATTCTATTGCTCAGAATACATGTACATGTAGCTGATTCAATTACTCCAAACTCAAAACTTTAAAAGATGATCTTCTGCTCAAATTGGTTTCAGTGGTCAGAAATTGCCTCAGATCACACCACAGAAATTGCTTTACTATAACTGCATGTCTCCCAACTATATCCCCCATTTACATTTAACTCCCCACATTTTCATCTCCAACACTACGCCCTACCCGATCTATGATCGGGTAAATCAGCTTGTTGCCAATAAGCGGCCATACACGGTGTGTCTCGTTGGAAGGAATAATGCGGATTATACATGTTATAACACCTCACACACAGATTCTGTGTCTTGATTGGCCAAGAGCGAGTCACATGTTACTTTCTATTTTTGCTATCTTTCTGTGCACGGCCAAAAGTACCATACCCGTAGCAACCAAAGTACTAGGCCTATACCATTAGCAACCAAAGTACTATCCACGGTGCGGTATTTGTATGCAAATGCATGCTGGTGTGTGCGTTGCGCGTTTTGTTCCAAAGAGAGCGCGACGTGTGAAGGGGTAATTTGGAAGAGAGAAACACATTTTCCACCAATTTTGTATTGAAATTTACATTTATTTAAACTGTGTCCAGATTTAAATCGTGTAAAACATTAAAACCAAGCAGAATCTGTGGTAGAAGTGTTATAAACCAAATATTGAATGCTTTATCTCATGGTGTAGTAAAACTGGCCTCCCTCTGTGATCCATGGACCATTCTATTTTCCCTCGGCTTCGCCTCGGGAAAATAAAATGTCCATGGATCACCTCAGGAGGCTAGTTTTACTACACCACTCGAAAGCATTCAATATTTGTATAGAATAAAACTGCACACCTATTCGAATTGTGGTTGAGCCCAAAATTGTGTAGATTTAGAGCTACGTGATTGGCTGGGCGAATGATGAGCTATGAACACCCATATTGGGACATGCACTACACATGCATCTGTGACCTAATGTACCATGATTAGAGAGTATTGGCTGGAGCTGAAGACTGTTTGTACTGTAACAGAGGTAAATGTTTAGTTTCTAGTGCACCTTTCAACAGATTGTTCATCAAAGAAAAAGTAAGTGGAATAATACGCAGATAAGCAATGTGAATGGTCAGGCACGAATACATCACTTAAAGGGAAGATACAACATTTGCAAACATCACAAAACGAAATGATCAAATTATCATGAAATACCTTACTGGATTGTTATGGAATGACAGTCTAAAGCATCCTGTAAAATTGTGGCTCCTGGTGTGCTATCATTCTCAAGAAAAATGGTATTTTTCCAACGCTGGTCGGCCGACCAGCGTTGGAAAAACTGCTTTTTTCAAAAAAACTGTTTCTAATTTTTCATAATAAGTAATTCATTGTTTTCTTTGCAATTGATTGCACACCTGTGAAGGGGTACAAGCCTGCTAGTCTGATCCTCTGACTTTATTATTCCCCAAAGTCTATAAATTGCTCCGTTTCATCTTAAGTGGGGTCGGGGAACCAGACTACAAGAACATGATTGGTTTTCTTGGTTTTTCCAACATCTACAAGCCAAAAACGTGAAACAAGTCATTTTAACAATATTGTTATACATACTAATCCTCCAAACCCATTTATTTCTGAAACTTGCAGCAAAAGCAAATGTTGTACATTCCATGCTTAAATTTTGAAAATTATTGTTATTGTTGGGTTTATTTCATTCAAATAAAAACCTCGCGGCTTGGTAGACTGAATGAAGTTTTGATTTACAATAAGAAATATTTATTATAAAACATTAATCAAATATTGAGAATAAAAACCCCTACTTAATTAATTCATGAAATTAACTTGAAAAAGTAAATAAATGCTTGATTTATTTAAACTTTACTTGTGCACTCTCTTGAAACTTAAAGTAAAAATTTGAAGAAAAAATTGTAATGTAAAATTAGTGAAATTTGAAAAACAAAACCAGGTTTATTTCATACAAGTTTATTTAAGACTCTATACAGTAAAATATAAAAAGATTATAATCTGGAACTATATTTAAAAAGTACACTCAACCAAAAGGAAAGCCCCCCCCCCCTTCTGAAATTTTTTTTTTTCTAATTCAAAAACTACTGAGCACCTCTCGCTCAAATAATGACTAATCAGTACAGAAATTCGTTAGCAATCCAGCCATACTCTTTATTTGGCCCAAAACAGTGATAATCAGTACAAATTTATGCAGTTTATGACAAATGATACTGAAAACAGTTGCACTTCTGTATAGGTGCAAGTTGTGGTTCACACTCACCTTGCACATATACAAAAGTGCAATTTTTTTCCCAGTACCTTTGTGATAAATGCATAATTTTGTACACATTGTCACTGTTTTGCTTAGGGCCAAACAAAGAGTATGGCTGGATTGCTAAGGAATTTCTACACTGATCGGTCGTTATTTGAGCACGATGTGCCCAGCAGTTTTTGAGTTGAAGACAAATATTAAAGTATTCAGGGGGGAACTTTCTTTTTTGGTTGAGTGTATGAAAATTGTGTTTATCTGTGTGCAATTGAGCAGGATGAGGAAATGCATGCTTGTGCATTATTTTTGGGACTGAAATATACAAATTACATGGGTAAAAGAGTTAATGTTGTCTTTTTTTTCAGAATGAGGTCTGCACGCAAGGTTAGATCTAACCTGCTTCTGTTGGGTATCTCCCTAGGAACCCTTTTCTTTGCCGCTTGGAAACTTGGTGTCGAGAGCTCCTTGAAGAACGCACTTGATGAACACATGCAGGTGCATAAGCCCATGGAGGTTCCACAGGCACCCTGGACCACTGCCAACAGAGCATCTAGTCACAAAGTGGGTAGGTTTCATTGCTAGAACAGCCCTCCTAGGCTTACATCCCAGCTGTACCACATGTAGGTATGGTTGAATCAACAAGATAGTGACCCGTGGATTAAAGATGGTTTTTTTTTTCTTAAAGGGAAAATACAACATTTGCAAACATCAAAACACAAAATGATCAAATTGTCACAAAATGCCTTACTGAATTGTTAGAGACTGACAGTCTATGGCATCCTTTAAAACCTTAGCTCCCTGTGTGCTGACATTTTCAAGAAAAACTGTATTTATTCCAACGCTGGTTAGGCCGACCAGCGTTGGAGAAACTGGCTTTATTTCAAAAACTGTTCTTAATTTTTATATTAGTTATTCTGACTTTTCTTTGCAATTGATTATACCTTTGAAGGGGTACAAGCCTGCTAGACTGATTCTCTGACCTTACAATTCCCTAAAGTGTATTAATTGCTCTGTTTCATCTTAAGTGGGGTCAGGGAACCAGACTACAAGAACATGATAGGTTTTCTTGGTTTTTCGCACATCTACAAGCCCAAAACGTGAAACAAGTCAGTTTAACAATATTTTCTATAACATACTAATCCTTCAAATCCATTTATTTCTGAAAATTGAAGTAAACTCAAATGTTGTACATTCCCTTTAAAAAGCAGTCAAAGTTGGTACGCCAATGAAGTCTAAAAAGAGCAAGTTCGTCCACTCAACTGAAGAAAAAAAATTACTGAAATTGGTCCATGCCATCAGACGTTAGGCCAAGTAAAAATAAAATGTTTAGCGTCCCCGCCTGCTTCCTTCTTGGAGGCCGCCTATTTTTTTTTTTTTTGTTGAAAAAAAAGCAAAAAAATAATCAATTGTAAACAGTGACATCATTTTGACCTTTTTGTCTGTTATTGTACATGTCATTTCCTGAGTCCAAGTGACGGCCAATTAAAAAAAAAAAGCTGGGGGCATTCTTGGAAAACAGCCCGGTCAGGCCTCCTTCCGTTTTTTTTTTAAAAAGGCAGGATGCTAAGGCCAAAAAAAAAATAGTTCTGCATCCGATTACACGGCATTCTAAAATAGGGTAGGTAGGTAGGGATTTTTTTTTTGGCCAATTTTTTTTGTGTACAATCATATGGAGGCGTCTGCGTGTAGTCAAGGGTAAAACTTAGAAATTGATGGTCTTAGGTGTTTTTTTTCTCATTTTGCCCATAAGAAAACTAGGGTAGGGGCTGTCAGAATAGGGTAGGTAGGGAAACCGGAAGCAGAACTTTTATTTTTTTTTGGCCTAAACATGTTTTTTTTTTTATTTGGCCTAAATGCATGTTTTACTACAAACATCTGGCCATTAAATTGGGCCCTTGTCTGAGTCCAGGTTTTGTACACAGTGTGGCCAAAAAAAGTGCAACATTTACAAAAAAAATTAGAACCTTTTGATGTTTTTTCTTCAATGAAATTGTATTTCATTAAAGCTATCCGAAAAGTAGCTGGCTTAATTATTGTTGAAAAACATACTTGGTTGAAAGATAGTAAGGGGACTAAACTCCCTGTGAAATTATTCTTTCTGGCAAGCTGTCATTTTAAAGTAATCAACGAAAAAAGGCCTTTCCAACGGTGCTTCTTAAGACGCACCGTAGGAAAATTTTTAATTAGTAGTTCGTTATTGTTATTCGGCGAAGCGCGTGCAAGCATTGGCATGACGCACACGCACCCCCGGTTGCTTATTCGTCGGATCAGTGCGCGACATCGCGTAGCTGCAATCGGCTTAGCAAGAACGTGTCTCAAACGCTGAATTCAGGCGCAATTCAAAACATGATTCAGCAACTTTTGATTTAATATTGAGATCCTAGAATACTGTTTTTCTCAGAATATACAGCTAAAGCTAAACTGAAACTTCATCAGGTTAGTTGTTCAGTATCCTTCTTTAGATTTTAAGCACTTTTGTTGCTTCAAATGAACAAAATGCACGAATTACAAATGATGGACCATATCTTTAAAGACTGACTATTTCTCAATCCACTCCTCTTAACTCCATTCCATGATTCCATTTGGGTCCCTAGATACAGAAATAAGATCAAATAAGTAAAAGAGCGTTACCGCGACATGCTGAATCTGGCTTTAGTATTGAATGGCATTGAAGTTGGTGGCATTGAAAAATCTCGTTTTTGAGACATCATGATGATGTCACACATTTGTTGCATTTTTGTGCAAATATAGATCTACGGTCTAACAAACCAATACAAAAAGCGTTATGAATTTGGCACTGTTTGTGAGATACATTGAAAAGACTAAAGCATTCGAAGTTTCATTAAAAGAAACCACACGATGATGTCACCACATGATGTCATCAGCATAATGTCACTCCAAACATACCACGTTTCTACCTGGTCGTAGTTCTCAAGACTTTGAAAAATGAACACGTTTAAGATGGCGTCACATGCTACATGTACGTGATGACGTCATAATGATTTGAACATCTTTGCTATAATAATATGGTATTTGCCCATATTACATAAATTTGTAAGTTTCAAAGGTACATGGTGTATACATGCATATTCCTTGTTTTCATTACCAGAAATAAATTTATAATTTAATGATCATTTGCTTCTGTTTCGTACAAATAAAAAGGAGAAAAATGCTTCAGATTTCAAATATGCACAAGTTTGTCATTATTCAAGGCTGGGTTGGGGTAACCTTGAAATTATACAGCAAATAGTTCTGTGCAAAAATTACTGCATTTATTAATGTTACTTGCAAAAAATAAATATTAATTAACAAAGTCAAAAAAGTACAACGATACCGCGTTTGTATGAATAAAACATGGCATTTGCTTTTACTACCAATTTTTAAGCATACCAATTTTTAAGCATTTACTCGCATCTGTATAGATGAAAATTAAGCAAATTTATACTTTTTCTGAAAACCACTTGCTAAACTCTGGAAATATTTACTTTTTACCTTTTAGCTTTTGCTACACTCGTTTACTTCGTTTCATATGAATAAAAAGGGGTAAATGCTTCAGATTTCAAATATTTACTTGTCATCAATCACGGCTGGGTTGGGGCTACCTTGAAAATATAAAAGCAAATGACTCTGCGCATACATTACTACCTTTATTAATGTTAATTGCGAAAAATGAATATTAACAAAGTTTATAAAGTACAAATAATACCATAGTCTGTATGAATAAAAAGTAACATTTGCATACATGTATATACCATGTATACTACCAAATTTTAAGCATTAACTCGCATCTGTATGAATAAAAAGTAAGCATTACTGAAAACCATATGCTCTTGAGTAAATGGCCTGCACAATGTAAAGGTTCACAGATTTATAAGTTTGCAGAAAATGAAATTATTGTAAAGCCCGGTTCATACTTCACGTGACAGCAAAGCGAAGCGAATTTGTGACGTCAACAATACATTCGAAGCGCGTCCACCATTGTTGACGACATGAATTTCGCTTCGCACATGCTTTCGCGTGAAGTATGAACCGGGCTTAACTGAAACGGAAAGCGGCACGTGTGTGCGCAGCGCGTACATGCTCGGTGCGCATTTCTAGCTTCGGGCGTGTTGAGCTAGGTCACGTGCTGGAGGACAGATACATTTAGCTGTACATTTGTATATGACGTTATTTAAATTTGTTTGCGCGTCCACAAGAGACCACACAAACAATGCACATTTATCGCACAGTGAATGGGGGCGTATGCACGCACTGCCGATCTAGTCTTTTTATTCTATGTATCTATGGCCATAATATAGACTGCAACCGCGCCACCGTGCTTGCGTTACGTTCCAGGATGAGCTACATGTATAGAATGGTTAACATAACATTGTTTGTTACTGTTTTTTCAAAAAGCGTAAATTCCTTGGGCTGAAATTTCAACAGGTTTGGTTTTGAACATTCTTCTTGGATTTTGAGTGGGGTTAGCATTGGAAACAAACAAAATGCATATAAAAAGAAAACGATCCTCCCTTTAAAATGGGTGTAACACTAAATAACAGTAACACCTTTTACTTTCAGTAAATGCATTTTTTACGATATTGTCATGATTAACACAGTGCATTTTCCATTCGTAAGTTATAAAGGGTGAGTAAAAAAAAACGAAACCCAAATTGCTGGACTAATTTTTGAATGAAGTTTTGCCTGTAGCACTTTCAAAATCTAGGATATGAAATCACTCATGTACTTTTCAAGTTACGGAATTTTGAACACAAACACCGTTTTAAAGTTCTGTCCGCGGATCACCAAAAAGGTAAGTGTTCTTTTCGCAAAATGAAAAACAATTCACATGCATCCCTATGAGAATTAGTTTTCGTTTTCCTGAAAGAAGAACACTTACTTTTTTGGTGATCGGTGGACAGAACTTTAAGACGGTGTTCAAAATTCCGTAAAACTTGAAAACTAGGAGTGATTTGAATGATTCTTGTAGTAAAAGAAATCTTAATTAATGACTGGGCTTTCAAATCCTAGATTTTGAAAGTGCTTCAGCCACTACTTCATTCAATTGGTCCAGCCATTTGGGTTTTTCTATTTTTTTTACTCATATTTTTTTACTCTTCCTGTGTAATTGCCGCTGTCTTACAAATTATGCATATTCATATAAAGTGCAAAGGGTTATCACTTTGCATTCTGTTGATTTTTTCCAATGATTAGGCCTACAGCTCTCTGAAACTGCCACAGCTGCTAAAAAAAACTTTCAATAAGAGGCAAGAATTTGTAATGGATTGAAGGCATTGTTTTAACATACATGTATTTTGAACATTTATGCACACAGTTTTTGTTAAGGAAATTGTAGGCCTATTGTGTTGAAAAAAAATTGAAAGAACAAGTTGTTTTTGAAAGTGATATAAATTTTCGGCTTTGTTGGAATAGTTAGTAACATCAGTATTTTATTCCATTTTTGTTCTTACATGCCTGCGTATCATGTTTAAACGAGGGCGACTAGTGCGACTAGTTGCAAAGTCGCCAATACCAAAAGGTATTGGTACATGTAGTCACGACTATCGATTTTCAGATAGTCGGGTAGTCGTCATGCAGCGACTATTGTCCAGCTAGTTGCGACTAGTGCGCCGCGGCAATAGTTTGCGCCGCGACTATTTGTTGCGTTGCGACTATTGACCTGCCCCGCACCACGCACGGCTCAAATTCTGAGTGCCCAGTCACTGTACAGTACATGTACATTGTACACCAGGCGCACAAGTCCCACACACAGTACTTACAGTTTCAACGAAACACCACACACAACGAAACACTCACTGAACGCTTCAATGTACATCGTACATGTACAATACATCGCGATAGTGCGTGCACAACTGCATTGGGGCCGGGGTCACTCATGAACGATGAATGGCGCACGTGTTGACTGTGGAGAGTGCCGATAACTGTACACAACGAACTTGGCGCACATGAATGGCGCCAGACACACAAAACAATGTAGGCCTGCACGTACGTATGTTTCCTTACAGTTGGACAAGTTGATGGTGAATATCTTTCGTCGTGTGTTTCTTGAATTAAAAAATAAAATATCAGACAGCTGCTTGTTTGCTTGAGTCCTTTCATTCTGTTCTTTTCATTTTTCTTGCGTATAATTTTTGTAATTAAGATTTGTATGTGTAACTTTTAATTAGTCTAAGTTCTTTTAGTAAAGTTTCGATGTAATTTTTGCAAAGTTTCAAATTGATTGAAAAGTAAAAAACGTGACAAGCTCAAGTCAAGGCCTCCATTGAACGTCCCGAAATGTCTTTTATTAGACCCAGCTTGCCCATTAACTTTGCTTATTTATTCATGCTTTTATTGATTTCTCAAACTTCTCACAGCAATAATCATAATGATTTAAAAAGACTCAGTCTAGCTTCAGATGTGGTTTTTAATATAGTTTTATTCAAGCAGAGAAACAATTCACAACATTCAGGATGTTGATTACTTGAGCCCTTAGCGCGCGGTACGATCAAACACCCTCTGTCTGGTGGATGAATAGAGATTGGCAGTGTAGGTCCAGCCATGCCCTACAATAGTGTTTTTTTACACACGTGGTAAATTTAAAGGCTGCTGTTTTTTATGCATGTGCGGGGCCCTAGTCCGATTCATTATCAAGCTTGGGATCCAAAACCACGTGGTACATGTAGTTCCTCCTTCTGCGAAAGGCTGACGTTTTGTTCATTTTTCATGTGCGGGGCCCTAGTCCGATTCATTATCAAGCTTGGGATCCAAAACCACGTGGTAGTTCCTCCTTGAAACGCTGACGTTTCGTTCATTTTTCATGTGCGGGGCCCTAGTCCGATTCATTATCAACCTGGGATCCAAAACCAGGTGGTAGTTCCTCCTTCATTGAAAGGCTGACGTTTTGTTCATTTTTCATGCACGGGGCCCCGGTCCGATTCATTATCAAGCGTGGGATCCAAAACCACGTGGTAGTTCTCCTTCCTTGAAAGGCTGACATTTTGTTGATTCTTCATGTGCGGGGCCCTGGTCCGATTCATTATCAAGTATGGGGATGTTTTTTTTCTTTTTCACAATGTACATGTTTGTAAAATAAAATACGATGTTTTGTTTTCATGTATTATAATTGAATATGGTGCTTCAAACAATATCTTATTCTTTATAAATCATGTAACCGTATTCAATAAATTTAAAACTCTCCTTAATGAAAATGGAAGTATCTTACAATGTACAAAAGTGTCACGTGATCGTGACTGACCGCGTCTTCTGAATCTTCTCATGCATGATGCATCTTAGCGGGGCCATTTTTGTTTATGTGGACAACTCAGTCTAGAAATCATCCTGAAACCACAAGCCTGGAAAGACACAAAGTGCGACGCACTCTGCGCATGCAATTCATTCATGTATGATGTACAAAACATGTTGCTGGCAAACCGGATGCGTGCGGCATGCCTCACACAATCTGTTGAAATTCTTGTTCTTAAAAGTGTTAATTATTCAAGCATGGATTTGTAGAATTAATTGCAATTGACGATCAAGGAATTATTTGACTAATAACAACCACTTGATGTTACAAAAGTGATAGGAAAGTGCGTCATAATTCAATACGTTTTTAAAAAAATAATAAATAAACTCCACCGACTAGTTTGTGGAGAAATGCTGTGTGGGGCCGGCGTGTGGTAAGCCTGGTGTGTGGGTATCCTTTGTGTTATGCAAACGCAGATCCACGGATGCCTTATCAGTGGTTTTAATGGATAAATAAACAATGCAATTAGTCGTGACTAGTCCACTAGTCGCGACTATTTATTGATAGTCGCCGTGACTATTGAAATTTGATAGTTGCCCAGGCCTAATCATGTTCTTCTGTCTTCACAGGTAGCTTTCCATCGGATCATAAACTTAACTCCACAATGTACACACTGGATAATAATCACCTAGAACAACTTGTCAAAAGCCTTCAACTGAAGCTAGACGATGCCTGGGTGTCTGAAACCCCATGTAAGTATTGCTGGACATGTTAGATTCCATGAGAAAATACCGTATCACAAAGTTCAGCTGGCCACCAATGCTCATGTACCGTTCCATGACAGTGGAACTTCGCTTTACCGAACACCGCTATACCCAACACTCGGCTATGCAACATCATGGTTGGCTTCCGATTTTTGTGTTCAAAACGTACTGAACATTGTTGTTAAAAAATGTCAAGAGAAGAGTGACAAGTGGCTTCCCCAAGGAATAGAAGGGGAGAGCCACCCATTGCTGTAGGTACAGGAGTTCAAAAACTGTGTAAACATAATTCAATAGTCGGCACATGCTCAAAAATTGGCTTTCAGTAACTACCAGGGCGTGCAGGGTGAAGTTCTGAAGGGTGCCATTTATTGAAAAGTGAGTACCGGAGCACAGGCAGCTTAAAATCGCTATACCGAACGATCGCTATTTCTGTGGATCCTGTGATGTTCGTTATAGCGGCATTCCACTGTACAATGAAGTAATGGCGTTTTCATGCCTTTATGAACCAACAAAAATTTGTGCAGGAAAACAGACAAAAATCACCATCACCATGATCAATATCTCAGGGGGAAAAAAAAAATAATTCGAATGCCTGTGTGCGTTCTGGTTCTCGCTCAGTTCAATAGCTTCAAATGGCATTCCATGGACAGCTGTTAAAAATGGATTACCCTAGTAAATATGCATAACTTCTCAAAGTATGGATCAATTTCGGTAATTCCTTTTCCAAATGAGTGGAAGAACATGCTCGTATGTATGCTTCATTGCCCGTAGATGTCACATTTAATTGCTTTTTAATTAAGGGGAAAAAAATCATAAATCCAGGTCACTTTCTTTTTGGCTCACCCTTTTGTACAGTAAACGTTCCCCAAAATGTAACATACATGTACAATGAAGGGGTAAACATATCTTTTTTTACTAATTTCTGTATTTTTATTGTATGCTTAAAAAGAGGAGATTTTGTCAGAAAATTTAGATATCCTACCTCCATTTTGAAAAAAAATCATCCACAGTATTTCTATGAGCAAATAAGAGTTGAATATTGACATGCAGTATATGAATTTGTTTTTTTGTTCAGGATAAAAATATTGGCTTATATGGGCAAATGATTCACTTGTAGCAATTCATATATTTCTTTTTAGACTTTGTTCTGTTTTATTTCTCTGTACTTGTATAGCACTTTTTGCAAAGGAAGAGTTTAAGGATTTAGACATTCCAGAGTTTCAAGCAAGGTAAGACTCACAAGGATCAGTAATTTTGGACGATCACACTTTAAAACACAATGTGACATCTTTACATCTCTTGTTTGTCTTAATTAGTTTTCGAGTTTGAAAGTGTAGTTTGAAAATGCTCATACAATGTATGTTAACCAGAATTAATTTCCTTGGCTGAAATGTGGACTTACCGGTAATATCCCTTTTCTAAAACTCTTCCATTTGCGACAGATCAACATAGCTTGGAAATTCCTAGTTTTTGAGTACAATCCATATATCTATTTCGTGAAAACTTGTGGAGACGTATGATTCATCTATAGAAATTGCCCTGTGGAGATATACATGTATACAATCTTTTGGTCCCTATTGTACACACGTCTCTAGAGGGCACAGTGTATCAGATCTGTCATGTGCCCCTCTAAAAATGTGAAAAGCACTCGCCTCTCACTACTGTGGCCTGGGTTCGACTCCCATCACAGCCCATATGTGAGTAAAATTGTTTGTTGATTCTCTCCAGTGCCTAGAGGGTTTTCTTCAGGTTCTCCAGTTTTCCTCCCTCCCCAAAAATAAAAAATTCAACACTTTTGATCCTGCTATGCTCAGGGGTAAAAAATTGTCATATGGCGGCTACCAAAGGCACCTGTACTTGCCTTCGGCTTGAGAACATTGTAGCTGCATCCTTCACAATTCAGCTTCTGCTGTGAGTAAGGATGATTGTCCGTCCCCCCCCCCCCCCCATTATAAAAACTGTTCCTTCTCTGAATGTCCCAGAGTGCCAGCGGTAGTGTACCATAAGGAGACGATCTTGGCTTTCTGCGAGGCCAGGTTTGACACGGTGATGGACTGGGGGAACATGATGATTAGCTTGAGGCGTGGTAAGCTGACAGGACAAGACGTCACCTGGGAGAGAATACGACTTATTGCCGGGATACCAGGACACAGGTATGTGACTTGCCCAATACATTTTCATTTTCCACAGGCAGTGCCAAACACCTGCTAACGTCAATTAAACGTACAGCAATTAGACTGTAGCTGGGCCACCTCTCACCAGTGATGTCACCAACCCAGATTCAGCATGTTCAGGTGAGAGTGCTCCAAATAAAAATGTACACCCTTAATTGATTGGTCGGGCAAACCCTACCACTCTTTAGATTTGTTATGATTAATCTTTCTTTCTTTCTTTTTTTCCGTACAACATGTTTCCATGGGTTTTCTCCGAAACGCTTTATGATATGAACTTGTAACTTTCAATATATATCGACCCTCATCCTTAGGGTAATTATCAGCACCCAGACTCTAAGCGGTCTTAAACAGAGTGATTAAAACCTCTCGAGCACACATTTATTCCCTTAATATAAGCATTCTTTTGTGTGCATTGTATTTCAGGACCATGAATCCCACTCCCATTGTTGACCATAAGAAGAATGCCATTGTCTTAGTGTTCTCCGCCTTCCCAACAAACATGACCTTCTTTGATTTGGTCAAACGCAGGGGCAAACGATTATCAAGAGTTTACGTTATAAAGGTGAGAAAGTTAAATACTTGTATAAATAAATATTGCACACTCTGCTTAAAAATGTTAAAATCACTAACAGTAAAGTGATTGGTTTTAGACTAGGACCATACTAATTTTAACTGCTTCACAGAAAAAGGCACAAAATGGGTTTCTTGGCTTTGCCGTTACGCAAACATATCTTTGCATTTACAAAAGCAATCTCAATTAATCAAACGGTATTCTAAAGCTAAAATCTATTACCTTGAAGATGGTGTAAGCATCCGCAGAAAATTTTGGTTGTAAATTAACAAATATGGAGGGGTTTACATGCATTTTTTTATCAGGATGCCTTGTAGTTCAAATTGCCAGTTTTTGATTGGTTTCATTTACCCTAGCCTTGTCAGGTTTGATTATATACCACTTTGATTGTCGTCGTTCTGTTAGTCTCTTTCCTCTTTCACTCCGCATTTTACTGATGGTACATGTGGACCGATTTGTTCTCTGAATCATGTTTCTACAATTTTATTTTACCTGTGGTCTAGAGTTATGATGTTGGCTTGACCTGGACGGACCCCGTAGAAATCACCAATCAGACCATCGGCAAGATGAAACCTTTCCCTGTTTTATATGCACCAGGTAACTAATAGTTTGTATCTGTGTATGGGCCATTTTTGTAGTGTCATTTGGCAGGACTTTACCTATGCAAAAACTCTCTGGGTATTTGCACATTCAGATGATCATCCATGGGTATTCCGAGTCGACAGTAAGAAGTACCTTTCAGCTTACTTGTTTTTGAATAGTTGGCCAAAATAACATAGCGCCCTCTATTGAATACGCATTTTATTCGTATTGCAATTCGCTTGTACCTCCCGCCCTGCAAACAGGACGCTGGGATACTCTGATGAGCTTCACAGAATCTTGTGAAGGAAGTGGCCTATGACCTATGTATAAAGCATCTGGCTGCAGCTGTTCAAGACCGCATTTAGACAATGTGCTCAAATGCTATCCGAAACTTCCCATAGCATTGCGCACATTTCATACCGGATGTGATTTCTGTTTCATTGCGGACCATGTGGACAAAATTGTGTGCGTCCCATAATGCAATCCGACCGTTCGTGATTCGAAACGGAGCCTGAGCAAGTATTGGGAATTGTAAATTTACAACACAGATAAGTTTTACAGAATTTCCTACATTGTTAAGCTTTTTTAACGAGAAAAAATATCTCTAAACTGGAATAAAAGAGTAATGAATCAGTCTTAACGGCCGTTTCAAACCATGCAGAGTCATGACCTTGATGACGCGCAGGTCACTGGTCACACAAAATCCAACCAATCAGAGCGTGAATTCATCAGAGTCCTGTTTGCAGGGCGGGGGTACGAGCGAAGTATTGCAATTGCGAGGTTGCAACAACAAGAGGGCGCTGTTTCACTCTGCAACCATATGAAAATGTTACAGCTGAGTATTTCTGTTCATTAGTATTATGTTACACTCATCAACATGATGTTTGGGCCTCAGTAACTCTCTGAAAAAAGAAAGAATTAACAGCTCAAATATTGATGGTGCGTTGCTCACAACAACTTAGCGACACTGAGAAGTGTGGAAAAAACTGTAGTGAGTAAGAAGCTTACATAATGCATGCTTTTGTTAAGTGGCACAAACTTTTGAACGATATGCATGCCTGAAGTTTTGGGACTCGCATACTTAGTATTGAGAGTCCCAAATTTTTGGACCTAGTTTTGAGTCTTACCTGTAAGAACCAGTATAACAGTGAATGTGTGCAGCAGCCGATTTCACGAAAGAGTGCGCAGCAGACTTACGCAACAAATTTGTTACGCAGCTGCGCAATACACTTCCAGATCAATTTCACAAATGTTGGGTTATAGCTGCGCAACGTTTAAAATTTTGTAAACATCTTGGACGAGGATAAAAACAGCATTTATGACGGCTGTTTGTATGTGAATTTGTTCGTTTGCAAAAAGTCGTTGGATCACCTCAGCCCGCCATTTTGAAGTTTTGAGTTTCTTCAGAATTGTTCGGCAACTCTTAAAATTACGTTACAAGTAAAATAGAAATTCATTTACTTCAAACATAAAGTTGTGAGTGTCTTGTAAAGTCAACCTTGATAAATTGTGCAATGACAGTCCCGATTTTCTGGCGAAATAGGTCATTTTCAGTCACTACAGCACAACTCACATGTACGCCACCCAAAATGCAAGTTACGCCATAATTTATTGCGCAAGTCGCCCATTCTTGTGAAAGGTATTATAAGGGAACTGTTGCGCATAGTTAAATGTTGTGCAACTTATGCAATAATTGTTGGCGCAAGCAGAGTTGTGCCATATTGCGTAAGGTTTCGTGAAATCGGCTGCTGCCCAAGGGTCTTTTGTGAGTAGCATCACAAAGCATCATCTACCGTTCACGCACTGAGTCCTCGGAATCCCTTGAGCAAGGAGTAGAATGTTACAAATCTTCCAAGGTTTGAGATGCCCCATAACAACTGTTGATAAGTTGACAAAATTGAGTTAGAACCTTTGTTGAATATAAGTCTGCTCACAAGTGCTATTTTCTCCAAGTAACGATTACAAAATGGCATTTTTCACTTCACCGACGTATTTGTTGTAAATACTGTATACTCATCCATGCTGTCCCGATTGATTTGGACTCGAACCCATGACCTCCTGCTTACTAGTGCAGACATCTTAAAACTCGACCACCGAGCTTGCTGGGGTCAGCTGGCTCACAGCCATTACAGATAAACATCGTGAACCGAGGAAACAGCATTTATCAAATACGTCGGTGAAGGGCAAAACCCAACATTGAATTCATGTTACCCCAATGCATTTCCATCTTATGAATCCCAGGGATTTACAAATTTGTTTTTTGGCAGGGCCTGGACATTCCATACAGATGAAAAGTGGAAGGCTAATAGTTCCCGGAAATTTCTTCACTACAGAGAGAAGAAGAAGTAAGGAGACATGTCATTGTAAAATGTATGTATTAATTCACCTACCCATGGCGATGTTTAGTTGCCTGATGAATACTACCAGAAATTGGAACAATTCAAACACAATTTTACTGTATGCAATTTTTGTTGCGATAAAACTGCACGTGAAACCTTAGCCCTTCGCCAAGGCCATCGTGGCTTAAAGCTGCGAAACTGAGAGTGACTGGAACGAAGACTAATTCAGCGCGCACGAGTAGCGAAGCCACAAGGCCTTTTCTAACTTGATTTTGTTGAATTATTTATATTTTTTTATGCAAATAAATAGGGTGCTGAAAGGTTGACCAATCACAACGCGGATTTTACCTATATAGTTGTGTCCATATGTGAAAGAAGTGTGGGTTATGGAAAACGTAAGAGGAAACAACTATAAGTTCAGATAAGAAAGTAAGTTCCTACACTCAAATAATTTCTTGAAATACTTTTATAAGTAAACTTACAATAAGATAATGAAAATACAATTACGCTGTCACGATCTCATGGAGAATTAGAATAGACTCGCATTTTTTTGTTTTTCAAATTTTGTGCCAGCATCCGGGGTGGCGCGCGCATAGGGTAGAAGCCACGCGCGCCAAAAGGCTGATGATTGGTTGGAATTTTGCTACACTTTTAGGGTAGCAAAAAGAGATTATAAAGAAAAACATAAGAAATTCTTGACAAGTTGGAAAAGGCCTCGTAGCTGATCGCCACTTGCGTGTGTGGTCTTCCGCTCCAGTCGCTTTGCGCATTCACGGCTTTGCAGCTTCCTGGCTTCGCGGCTTCGCGGATTCGCTGCTCGGCGGCTTTGCCGCTTAGTCTAATGCAGGCAAGTTAAGCCACGATGGCCTTGGCTAAAGGCTAGTGAAACCTGTGCAGGAGGACCTTCATATCATATTACTATACCTCATACATATTTATGAGCGAGAGCCACATTCCCACTGGTCCATTCACCATCATATGTCAGCGCGTGATCATGCACAGTGTAAATACGCATGCGTAGTAGACAAACGCATTACCGGGCAATCATGGAACTAGCGTACAGGGGTATATACATTTGTAGTGCGCCTTTTTATCCACCATTCAAAACCTTAAAATCGTTCATTCACAAAATAGGTATCTCTGGCATGTGCTCTGACTGTACCAACCTGGCCAGCATAATATACAGTGACGACGGGGGCATAACGTGGCATCTAGGGGCCGAGACAAATCCTGCCAAAGATGCCAGGGGGGCTCGAATATACCCAAATGAAGCTCAGGTTAGTTTCCAGAGTAACGGTCTCAGTGATCCCGTGTCCTGTTTTTTTTTCCAGACGATTGAGTGGATAATTGGCTGTTTCGGCAACCGGCCGAAACAGCCTTTGTTTTCGTTAAAGGTTTTTTTTTTTTTTTTTTTTTTTTTTCCTCCAGCCGTGGCCAATAGTATTTGTACACGTTTTCATCGTGGAAGGCACTTTGGGCACTAAAATCAGTCCGATTGACTTAAAACTCGGCACACACTTAGACCAGCACCTGAAGTTGTGTGCCGAACATTGATGTCATCATGATATCATCACGAGTCACGTGACGTCACAATATAGGTGCATATTTTGAAGGCCTATATCTCCATAACTACAGGTCCAGTTGGGTTGAAACTTAGTATGTTCCTAAACTGGGATGTGTAATAGATGCAAATTTATGTGAAGTCACGATGACGTCATCACGTGACATGTGACGTCATATTAAAAATGCATATTTTACAGGCCAATATCTACAGAACTACATTTCTGATTCGGTTGAAACTTGGTATATACCATGTGGGTGGCATGGGTGGCTCGTGCGTAAAGCGCTCGCCTCTCACCAAGGTGACCACGGTTCCAATCCTGGCCGCGGATCACATGTGAGTAGAGTTGTGCGTTGGTTCTCTCCTGTGCCACGAGGGTTATTCTCCGGGCCCTCCAGTTTTCCTCCCTCCGGAAAAATCAAACTCGATCTCAGGCTGTGCTCCGTGGTCATATATGGGTCGATGTGGCCGGCAGCCATAGGCGCCTTTACGTGCCAGCGGCCCGACCACGTTGTAGCCGCGTCCTTCGCAATTCAGCATACCAGCTGCGAGTAAGGATGATTAGCCTCCCAAATTATTATTACCTAAACCGGGATGTGTTATAGATGAAAATGTAAGTGACGTCACGATGACGTCATCATATGACATGTGACCTCATATTAAAAGTGTATATTTTGAAGGCAAATATCTACCAAACTTTATTAGTACTGATCACTCCACCGCACATGCCCTATCAGTCTTACATGAAATAAAATACAGTAACAAATTACCGAAACAGCCGTATATTTGTACACAAACATAAGTAAATCTAGTTGAGCTTGTTACCGTCACAGGCTTAGACCCATTCCCACTAGATCCACCAACTGACCAATTGGGGGAACTGAGCCATTTTTGTTGCCAAATTGCCGGATCAGATCCGCCAATTGGTGGATGAGATCCTGCAAATGTGAGTAGGGGGAACGCTAACCGTTATAACGTGGATCAGGATCTGATCCACCTTTGGACTAGGATACAGATCCCCCAATTGGTGGCGTCGAGTAGTACCCTGATGATGGCTACATGTATATCATTTTTACCCTCGCCAAGGGGTTATGTTTTCACCAATGGTTGGATTGGTTTGTCTGTGAACAGGATAGCTTAAAAAGTTGTTGGCAGATTTTCATGAAAACTTGTGTAGGGGTGGTACAAGCACGGACCGTTAGATTTTGGACCTAATCTGGATGCAGGATTTTTTTTAAAGGATTCTTCACCATTCTGTATGTGCAAATATACCATAGACCACCATGAAACTGGGGCCCCCCCCCCCTAAAAAAAACCTTATGGACCGGTCCCTAGAGACCCGCGGCTATGGAGCCCCTGTTTTCCAACCTACATTTGTAATGCGCCTATCAATTGTTCCCCCCCCCCCCCCCACTGCCCCAGGTCTGATGTCGGGATCTTGTCACGTTTTTCAAGCCCCAGGGTGGGGATTTTGGTCACTCAAATTACATTGTTACCATGGAATACTACATGGAAAGGCAATCACTAGTGCGCCCCGCGTGTGTCTGGAATGGTCGGGGATCATCAATTAAATTTTGCCCGAGCGGTGGGGATTTTGTCACTTCAAAAGTGACAATCCCCACGTCTTTGGTGTGGCAGCTGGGGGGGGGGGGGGGGGGGGGGGGGTGGGGGAAACAATTGATAGGTGTATAATGTAAACACTGACCCTATAACTGACTCAATTCCGCTAGATGCACTTAATAATTCTATATTCGAATAGAGCAAGGTCCTTGCTCTCTGATTCAACAAGTAAACGATACATATTAATACAGAGTGTTTTGCCCTTTGATTTCAGAACATGATTGAGCAATTTAAAAGTTCCTCTTGGGTCTTGGGTATTTATGAATATTCATGAACTCATACCTGAATACAGCCATTTCCAATTCATTCTTTCAGCTTGCTGAAGTTGAGGACGGCACTCTCTACATGAACCTCCGCACTCTGGATGGCGTGCAGCCCAGGGCTTATTGCTATAGTTACGACGGCGGCCAATCATTGACCCCCGTTCAACTCCATCCTACTCTGGTGGAGCCGGGGTATAGGAAGAAAAACAATGTATGGAAACCCACATCTCCAGGTGGTTGTCAAGTGAGTCTCTATGTGTGGGGGTTCATCAAACGTCTGGCTGTGGTTTGTTTTTCTGGCTGTGGGCCTATCCGCTCCGTTCACAAGTACCCCCTCTACGGCAAAGAAAGTACAGTTAGGGGTGACCGAACGACGCCATCTTGCCTGACTGCAATACTTTGCCGCGAGGCGCGGCCACTGCGTGTACATAGTACAAATCCCCTGGTGTACGTGTGTCACACACAAGGAACGATGCGCGCGCGTCAACCAGCAAAATGTATGTGTTCCGCCCATGGGACGTCGTTGCTAGGTAAAAGGGCGCCCTCTTTTGTTGGCGCACGGAGCCCATAAGCTGTTAGTGTTCGGTGACAATTGGAGGCTGTACACTTTGATCTCGTGATCAGGGCCCATTTCATGGCAGTGCTTAACTGTTAGCAGACACGTTGTGTTAACTATCCTATATTACAATATCCTACGTTGTCAGTCTGTCTGTCTGTCTGATGTCTGTGTGTCACGGTTTTTTTTTTAAAAGGCCTGAGAAGTGTGCGGAAACACAAAATGCAAGGGTTTTGGAGAGGCTTATTATTGTTTACTTGTCCTTAAGTGTTATATATATGCCCCGATTTCACTGTCCTCTGAAGTCACAGTTGTCATGTAAAAAAAAAATCATTTATTTGTTTTGTTTTCCTTTTTTTGGAAAATTTCAGACTATGAAGCGTTAAATTTCACATTAGCTCTGTGAAAACAATCCACAAGGTATCACTATTATACAAAACACAACATTCATGATGAAAAATTAAGTCAACTTAAGCCGTCAATCGTACTAATTTGTACCTTATGAATATCCATTTCAAAACCTGACTTCAAAATACGTCAATTGAGGGCTCTCTGATCATTTGTACGACACCCAGCTATAGCCGGTGCCACAGCGCGGCGCCCCGCTAGTAGCAGAAAATTACCTAAGCTCTATTTCATGGTGCGAATGTGCTGACAGTTGCCCGCACATGGAGATTTCTAGTGTTACGTCACTGATTACAGCAGCTTATTCCTTTGGTTGATAAGTGAGTGTACCTTTTGCTTTGCTTGATTACTGCATATGGCCTAATGAAATAGATGGAGGCTGTGTTAACAGAAAATCACATGCTTCGGAAATGGGCCCAGCTTGATGCTCTTAGGCAGAAAATGGGCTTATATTGAGATGGATCTGCCAGTGTAAGGTCCTTTCATATCCTGCTGCTTTGGTCACTATAAGTGTAAAAAAAGAAAATCTGTCATGAGCCAATATGGCCCATCAGGCCAGTGTTAATCTCTGGTCTCAGTGGCATGAGATGACTGAAAAGTTTCTATTGCCACCTGGATGAGATGCCAGTCCATCGCAGGTTACTTATCTAAGCTAATACCTATTATTCTCCAGGATGGAGAGAGATACAAAGTGGGGTGAAGTGGCTTGCCCAAGGACACAACAAATGGCCATCTGCTGGATTCAAATCCCTGATGACCCTCTGATCAAGAGTCAGGAACCCCAACCATGAGGCCACACTCCCCTTTTTGGTCACTAAAGGGTTACAATAATTTATGCTTGGGGTCTAGGGTCCAAGTCTAGGCTTCAATGACAGAACTGGTCTCTTGATTTTCCTCTTCTCTTTAGGGGAGTGTCATCGCAGTCAATTTTGGAAGTCCCAGTCAACGTCCGACGTCGCAGCAGAAATGGCTGGTTTTCTCCAATCCAGCTGACCCTTTGAGCCGTGTCAACCTGGGCATCCGGGTCTCTGCGGACAGGGGCAGCTCCTGGAGCAATCCCTGGATAATCTTTCCTTATAAGGCGGGCTACTCGGACATGGTGTACATCGAGACCACTGTGGCTGGTAAACCGGTGCAGTACTTTGCCATTATATTCGAAGGGGGGAGCTCCCGATTCTCCGACCACGTGAAATTCCGGATGTTTAACATAGAGGCGCTCATACAAAATATATTGAAGCATGAAACAAATGAGAGACTACACCGACGGCCGTCTGAAATCTAAATTGCGTTGTAGTTACTTCTTATTTTAGTTCCTTCTCCTGCCTGATTATCCCCTCCTATTACACCCCTATTTATCTCACACTTCAGGGACGGATACAGGAGGGGGTGGGGGGGGGGGGGCAGGTGTGAAATGTAACAAGCAGCAAATGGTGAAGGCAAGTTAGGCGCCTTTGCCGAAGGCCAAGGGGGGGGGGGACATATTGTGATTAGTAATGCGAGCGTGTAGCACGAAGCAGTAACTGTGTGGGGTCCGGGGCCTACTTAAGGGCCCCTGAACATTTTGGATTCTAGATGCTCTGTGGTGCAATCTCAGGCAATATCTGACGACTTTAACCAATTCAATTTTTAGCAAAATATCATCATTTATACATCATTTTCGAGTTTGGAGTCATTGAATCAGCTATCCTGAGCTGTAAAATCAAACTGTAGACAATATTTATCTATTTGGTATTTTTTTTTGGAAGATTGCGTCGGAAAGAGAAAGTGCCTAAGACTTCTAATTAATTGTGACATCAGCACACAGTTTCACAAGAGAAAAAGTCAAAAATATTTCCCCGAATTCAAACATTTTGGAAAGAAGTCTTCCGAATTGGCATTAATTCAAATGTAATATTATTGTACCAGGATACAAGTATTGAATGCAATACTGTATACATGTATTTTTTTATGTATTTTTTTTTATAAAGCGTACTCTTACTTGTTCACGTTGTCTGATTCTGTCCCTCGTCTTGTCATACCACAAATAATCAATGACATGTTTTATTTCTGCTTTTGATATATCTATCCAATCAATGATTCTGACCATATAAATTATACTTTCGAAATCATATTTTCGAAATGTGTGCATACAAATATTGTATGTCGTTTGGGATTATAAATTTTGTTCCAAAAGTAATTACTGCAAATTACTTTTACATGTACTATAATATTTCAGTATTTTTATTTTAAAATTTGTTTTTAAAGTTTTGTTCTTCTTTGTTTGTTTTGTTTTTGTTTGTTTTTTGTTTTTGCTGTCTTGCCAAGATGTATTAATGTTAGGGTGTATTTACTTCCAATTCAAATTAGCTATTTTTTTGGCTGCGTTGGAACCTTTGAGATATGCATATGGTTTTTCTTTATTGTAGGGAGACTTAAAGGTATTATACAACGTTTGCAAACATCAAAAAACAAAAACAAAACTACTAAATTATTATAAAAATACCTTACTGCACTGTTCTTGAATGACAGTCTAAAGCATCTTGTAAAATCACGGCACCTGGTGTGCTTTCATTTCCAAAAACTGGCCTTTTCAATATACTGCCCCCAATTTACCATATTTAGTTAGTCCGCCTTTTGTTTGCAATCGTACTTGCAAGCCAGCTGGACTGGGTCCCTGACCTTCACAATTTCCCGACGTCTATAAATTGTTTTGTTTTATCTTAAACCGGAACATGACTGTTTTTAATGGTTTTTCCGGAATCTACGAAAATAAAACTTCAAACGAGTCGGTGTAACAATTTTTGTTATAAAATACTAACCCCAGATCCATCCATTTCTGAAAATTACAGCAAAAGCAAATTAATTCCCTTAAAATACCGTTCACTAAAACAAAAAACACACGCACATACACGCCAGTGCCAGTTCAAGTTTGTTTTTTTTTGTAATTTAAACAAAATGTACAAAATGAAGCCTTGATGTATGTTTCCATGCCGTTGCGTAAAACCAATAAGTTATTACAATATTATGTTTGTACTTTGTACATACATTTGTATTAACAGAGACATTGTTTCATATCCGTGTCTGGTAAACATATTGTGATTGTGTAAAATAATAACAAGTTAGGGGTGCTGCAGGAAACGAACGAGGCCAAAACAACATCCGGTTTCTGGTTCGGTGGAGTATACGTCATGTGATGATGATACTCTTGTGCCTTGTAATATTGCCATACTAAACCTTGCCAGTTTGCCAAATGTGCATCTCTTAAAGAGACAATGCATATGAAATTAACAGTCACTTCAAGACATTAACAGGTTTCTTATATCGTGTCTTAATAAACTATATTAGACAGTTTCCACCGAAATGTACAGGGTGAGTAATGGTTGGACCATTGAAGGGAGTTCTGAATGTAGCACTTTAAAAATCTAGGATATAAAAGCCGAATTCCTAAGCTTTCGTTTAGAACCACTTGTAATCATTTAGATCACTCATGTAATAGTCAAGTTACGGAATTTTAAACACAACCACCGTTTCAAACTTCTGCCCATTGATCAAGTGTTCTTTTTCAGCAAGACAAATACAATTCACATACAACTCCATTATTATATGTTCATTTTCTTTTCTGCTGAAAGAACACCAACCTTTTTTTATGATCCGCGGACAGAACTTTTAAACTATAACTTAAAAGTACATGGGTGATTTGAATGATTCTTGTACTAAACGAAAGCATATGAAGTGGGCTTTCATATCCTAGATTGCTACATGCAGAACGTCAAACAAAATTGGTCATGCCATTTGGGTTTCCTTTTTGTTTTACTCGCCCTGTTTTCTGTTGTGCAGTTATATTTCAGTTCGCCCTTTGCGTGGCATATGCTACACACGTTTACAGTGATCCAGCCTGATCTGCTATGCTTGCATGAAAGCGAACTGCACCAAGCAATTTTACACAAAGTATAAATCGTTAAAGAGAAAGTAATCTTTAAATTTAAGGGCAATAATTGAGCCCTTTGATTCAAATTTATATATCTGTAATTATAACAAAAGAATACATTGATATTGATTGTTCAGCTTGTAATTTCTACATCTCTTTTTTTATAAGAAATAATAAAAGAAGGTCGTTTCCTAAGACAAGTTTTAAGACACCTTTTTGGCAATATCAGTTAGTAGTTCGTTTTTAATTCGGCGACATCGTGAAGCTGCACTGAATCAGCTGAATGAGAACATGTCCCCGACGCAGATTTCGGGCGCAATTCAAAACATGACTTGGCAACTTTTGAATTGAAATCGAGATCATAGAATGCTGTTGTCAAACGAAACAAAAATGCACAAATGGCAAATGATTTACTCTACCTTTAATTGCAATGTGATTATTGGATAACTAACAAATTAAAATGAAAGTTCCCTTGCCCAACCCATGATTGTGGATCGAGTCGCGTAACGGTTTTGCTTTCGTTTTCAACAGACATCGTTATCAAGATTAACATATACATTTTATAACTTGAATAATTCGAAAGCTCTCTATTGACACATCTATAATCTCATATAAAGTATCACTATATAATTACATGATATATTATACATTTTATATAGCATTTCAACTCCAGTTCATTTTCAACTCGGAGCTTGGAGCTGATATTCTTTATTTAAAGATTATTTATTAAAGACATAATTATGGGGTCATTTTCAATTATCCCAAAAGTAACCCACCGAATGATTATCATACTTGATAATGTTTATCATAGGCCTACTTGGATTGATGATCGTACTGGTACGAAACGCCCCGTGAAATTATTCCATCTGGCTTGCTGTCATTTAGAAGAAATCAAGAAATGTACATGGTTTCCAACCATCAGTAAATTGACTGAATTTTTTGAAAAATGAGTTCCATAAACGAAATCGTGTTTCGTGATCTAAAGGTTGTGCATGGTTTTTCACTGGGGTCTGAAACTTCAACAGGTAACGTTTTGAATATTCTTTAGATTTTGAGTGTTGTTATTTGAAACGAACAAAATACATGAAAAAGCAAATGACCCTATATGCCTCTAAAAAAAAGTCGTGAATTATTTCGGTAAGAAAAGCCATACCGGTTCTGTAACTGCCATACTACAGAGCATTACAAATAAATTAAAAGGTATACAAATATATACTTAAAATGTACAAAGGAAGAACTAATCGGCAAATTATAAGCAGTCGGAATATAGAAACACATGTGTAAAATACAATCGAAGGAACCTTTTGATTGTCTCAAAGTGCGAACTTGTAGCGGGAAAAGAATTACATCGAGGCCTATCTGTGATTATTCTTTTCTCCTTTACTCTTTGTAATTATAATATACATGTACCCAACATTCATATTCTATTGTGAGCTTGTCGGAGACTAACAGCTCGAAATGACAAGTCCAAACGTTTTAGTTCATTCCCAAATCCGACTTCGAAATTGTGAAAGATTTTTGAGGAAAATGTAAATATTCTACATTATTCAACCAAGTTTTTTTGTTATCTCAATTTTGCTAAATCAGTATCGCGCAGGTTACCTCCTTAGTAGCCTGACTTTGAATGATACAATTTTGGGTTTGCTGTGTACTGGGCCAATTTCAGGATCTACCACCAGTAGGCATATGACAATTGTCACTTTCACACAAGTATAATGACCGATTATCTCGAGTTTTTACTGTCTCGAAAGTATATTATTCACAAACTACCCTGATAACTATTTGTTTCAGGCGTGAGGTAATTTGTTTCGTACTTATTTCCTATATGTAATGCTGTATTTTCTTGGGCAATATTTTGGCATCCTTGGTTGAGTATTGCTAACAATGCTATTCAAAAATGAGCGGAAGTGTATCTCAGAGTAGTTGGCAATTTATAGGCCGACATACGTTTATACAAAATTCTAAATTGCTAATAGTATTGTAGTTTTTTAATCGTGTATGGGTACGATAATATTGGGCGCCCTTTTCTCTAGGAGACCGGCAACGAAGCTTCAGTTGTGCGGGCAAGTTGCATGAAATTCACGTGAGAAAGTCGGGCAATGACGCCGTGTGGCCCAACGTGGGCTTGGGCGACAGCGGACGGGAAGGGAGGGAGGGCGCAACGTTCTCGTACACATCAGCCCGTGGCTCCGTGTGATCATTTGGATGGCCGTTGTCATCTTCGTTTGGGCTGGCCACGTTCTCGTATTCCGTCTTCTTCCGTTGGTGGGACGACCTGGGGGTGGAGTAGTAAGGCGGGGATGTGGGGCGATGTCCGAGCATCGGCAGGGTTGCAGCCGACGTCGGCGCCGGGGTGTTGACGTAGGTGCTGTCGGGGTCCAGATGCAGATCTAGAGGCGGCGGGGGTGCCGGCTTGTGAGGCGGCGGATTGGTGCCGTCGTCTTCATCGTCGTTTGCTGCTGCTCGCGAGGAGTTACTGGTCAGCCCGTTCTCCTGCCGCTCGTTCAGGGTGGTCTCGGCGATCGGTGACTCGTGAACCTCGTTCTGCTCCTCGTTCAGCACGATGTGCCGGCGGGACTGGCTGCGCTTCTTGGATCGCTTACGTCTAGCTCTGGAGCGCGCCTTATGGAGGCACCAGGCCAGGCAGACCACGATCAACACGATCACAGGGATGCCACCAGCCGCGGCACACGCAATGAAAATCCACAGGCTGGACACTGAGCCACCCTCGTCAACAGACGGCTCGTCTAGATCGATTGTCAAGTTAGCGCTTGCTTTCAGACCTGACGGTATGTAAGCCTCACACGTAATCACGCTACCGTCATCCGATATCATCAATCTCTCAATCGTGACAATCTTACCGTCCTCTGATCGTCTGAGTCTACTCCCTAGACCCTCATCCTCCAGGCCGTCTACATACCAATGGTAGCGATCGATCGAGGGCAGACCCTCCGCTTTGCAGATTAGAGACGCCTCCTTCCCCAGGACGAAAGCGCCACCGAGGTTCTCAACGGACACAGTAGGAGGCACCACAAGAGGCATGAGAGTGCAGGTAGACACGTCACCCGATGTGCTATTCTGTCCAACGCAGAGAAACTCAACGCCGTTGTCCAGCCCTGCCATTCTCCATATCGCCTCGCCGTTTTGAGCGGATATCGGGCTCATTTCTTCACCAGAATCGATTCGGTACCAGTTGAGATTGCTGTTGTCGACGTCTTCATCCACACTTGCCCAGCTGCAGTTCAAGGTGACATAGGTGCCCTGAGTTATCAGTCCTCTGCCGTGAGATGTAGCGGAGGTGCATAGTAATTCACCTGTCGCACACCACCATAGGGGTAGACACGTCGCCAAGACAAACCTTGCCAGATACATTTTAGTTGTAGAATCACTGTTCTTGATTTGGGTGTAGTGTTCTTCACCGAAGAGGTTTCAGTTCGTCAAACTTGGCACGCCTAATTAAGACGTTCTAAAGGGTTATTTGGATAATGTTATTTTACGATGTTCCGGAGCTAAACGTTAAGTTGACAGGTGCATGAGACGTGATTAGGAGGTATTAGAATTGTGTTATTGATCCCTCTTTTCCGAGAAAATCCGATCTCGGCCGATCTTTGAGCCTGGCTCCAGATTACGTAGTTGGTAGAGCAGACTGTCTTGTGATTGAAAGACTCCTATAGCACATGTGGGCGCGGAGCTGGGTGAAGTTGCATCGGCTTTGGAGAATGTGATAGAACGCTGGAGTATGGAGTACACGATTTTAACATCACACTGTTAGATACGTTTATGGCACGGTGTTCGTATCGTCCGGAGAAAAACAAAATCACCTGACATTCGACGAAATGGTAAACGCAAACACCAAAAATCCGAGGGTCTTATTTGGAGAAGACGACGAACGCAACGAACCGGGTTTTCCCCAGAAACATTCTCATTCGAACTGCATGCACATACCACGAGATCTAACCCGAGCTCATTACCGGGAATGGGATATCACAACATTTACATTGTCAAGATGAGGTCTATGCAGTATCAGACACCACAGACGGAACCGAGAACTTCCCTGAACAATCTGACACGACCATCTGATAGCTTTACCCGGCCGGGGAAGGCCGAGGAAGCGCGTGTGAACACATGGGCCTGACCCAAGAGCCAGGCTGGAGGGTTGGAGGTCGTCATGGTGCTGTCCGGGTTGTTTCAGTTGGGTGTGCTCCAAACACACAGGGTGGACCGGGTTGCTTTTCCTTCCGTCCGTGAGGGTATGGTTCCATAATGGTGTTTGTTCTATATAGGATTAATATTTCTTCTATAGCCTTTGTGTGCCAGTTGTGTATTAACCGTAGGCCTTCAAAAACCTACGCCAATGACCAAACGTCTATTCAACAATAAAATGTCGAAAACAGACGCTTGTAATATAAAATCAGTATTGGGTTTTGCCCTTGGGCCACGTATTTTGTAATAAACTCAACCCACCTCGAGTGATTGTGAGGAAAATTTCACACATTACTCAAGTGGGACTCGAATTTTTTGTTCGTGATTTATTTTTGGTGATTTGTATACTGTGAGTATACAGTGTTCATAAAAATAAGTTGCAGGGCAAAATGCAATATTGATTTCACATTTTATGAATAGCTTGTGATATACTACAGCATAGCACGTAAATTGTAATGCGATTGTTGTTCAAATTGAATGGCATGAAAGTTACACATTTAATATTGAAATTGAATATAATAACTGAATAAACTGTTGTTTTTCGTTAATCCGTGGTATGTTTGGAAACATATCAAATACGAACATGCCGTTTTTTATATGAATCGGTATACATGTATATAATTAAAATGTATTGACAGAGAAAGACGAAATAATTTAAAGAGTTGTTTTGGAGCAACACCAAAAAATCGCTATCATAATGGAATGACTTAATATGGTATGATAAGTTAGTATGTCGGAACTTGTTTGTTTTCAACAGTCTGTTACGTGTTTTGACTTGATAAACTGACTCGAATTCCTAAATTTTAATAAAATAGCCTGCCTTAATAGATATTTGCCCGATTACTCTATGAGGAAAAGAAATGAATATTTACCTTTTTTTAGGGGGGGGGGTATTTATTTCTTGAGCCCACGCAAAGATGACGTCAGAACCGCTACTTTTATTGAGCCTTCCATTTTCTGGCGGATTTGATCAAGTAGGCTCTTAAGCTTAAGGTAGAAAAGGGATTTTTCAGATTGAATATGACGTATGTAGGAAATACTCCAAGACTCAACTAAGAAACAAAAAACCACTGGGCATATTTAAAAGAAAAGGCACAAAGACATGTAGGTTTGAGGAAGTACATTATAGAGGCCTTAACAATGCCACCCTGTAGGCCTACCTCACAATAGACAGACTGTAGATACCACGTTAACAAAAACAGCTTTTTCCCCGATGTGAGGATGTGAAAAGGAAAGCGTTAACCATCGAAACCGAAAGAAAACACTGATTGGTACTACCATCAAGGAAACAGTTTTTCCCTGTTCTGTGGTGTACCACTAAAACTAAAAATAGGCAAGGTAAATTGTACCAAATAATCACCTATTTTAACCTCAACGCCACACCGCAGTGGCACCATTTAGGCAAATGTTGTTTCTATTGTGTAGTCTTTAATCGCCGTATTTACAAGCCACAAGAGTTAAAACAGCAGTGAAGATGAGAAAATGTTGGTTGTTGCTTCCAATACTCCAACAGCCATACGATTTATATACAGCGGCATACGTGATCTTATATTAATTTCAAATGAGTGGTACCAGTGGCGTAGCCGGGGAGGGGGAGGGGGGCGGGGGTTAAGGGCGGTATTTAACCCCCCCCCCCCCACAACCTCCAACCCAAACCAAGTTTTTTGTAAAGCCCTTTTCACAAGTGCCTTTTTTCACGGGTGCCCTTAACGAGTGGCATTTTTGTTTTTGGCATGTCGCGTGAACGTCGGCAATTGTGCCGCCATGAAAAGCGCCACCTATTTTCAGATTGTGCTATATGATCGTCAGGTTTGAACAGCGCCTCGTTTGCAATTAAGATGGTGTCCAACCCCCCTTCCGCTTTTTGATTTTACGGAGGCCGGGTTATCGGTGAAAAAATTCCTTTCTACCTTTCAGCACGGATGGGCGATCGAGTGCCCTTTTTCCTAATAAAAATAACCTTGCTGTGACACTCTGTACCTGAGAAGGTCTGTGTTTTTAAGTGCCCTAATTTTTCCTTATTTCCCCGCCCCCCAAATCTGGCAGGTTTTTGATACTTTTCCGCGAAATTTCCAAAAATTTTCGCTTTCTCTTTGCGAATTCAACGTATTTGTGCAACAGTCTGAATAATGGCTTTCATAAACAGCGCCCTCGGTTGCTTGACAAAATCAAATATATGCAACAGCAATTAATGCAGCATGGGGCAAGTTCACGCAAGAACTATTGTTGACCAATACAGGCGCGGATCCGGGGGGGGGGTGTTCAAGGGCGGATCCAGAACACAATTTTTTTGGGGGGGGCCAAAAAAAATTTTGGTCCCCCAAAAAAGTGGGTCAAAAAAATTACGGCGTGGGGTTCGGGGCCCGCTTAATTAAGGGCCCCGAACAAAATTTGGATTCTAGATGCTCTGTGGTGCGATCTGAGGCAATTTCTGACCACTTTAACCAATGTTTTTTTGAGGAAAAGATGGTGGTGTACTCATTGCCTGCCTTTATTGCGATGTCACATAAAAAAAAAACTGGTTTCATTTGGGGGGGGGGCATGGCCCCCTTTGCCCCCCCCCCCCTGGATCCGCCCTTGGGGGTGTTAAAAAAAACAGCTCTGTCTATTTTTTTGGAAAGAATTTCATGGAAAAACTTAACTCTAACTCTGTCTGGTCGACGATAGTCGACTACGCTTGTCGACTATTTGAACCAGCCTACCGCGGCTGGTCGCGCAACGATTTATAGCTGGTTATTAATAGCAATTTCCAAGGCATAGTGCAGAGGGGACCAACTATCAACAAAAATGGCGGAAAGCAAAACTGCGAGCACTAAATTTCATTTTCATCGCGCATTCTTTCCATGTTAGTTTACGATTTAGTCACTTTTATCACCATTGTTTAGGCAAAATAATATTGGCGATTATGTAAGATGTCCTTAACTATACACAATTACTATTTTTTGTGTAAATAAAGAGAAACAACAAGTGTTGAACAATTTTGCGACTGCCATATTTGAACGGTCGTTGACATGATAATATGTCGGCTAGAGTCCTTCGCACTTCAACTTCAGTACTAGTGCGCATGCGGTAGGCACGTCGCGAACCGACCACTAGTTAACCTGTAGCCTCTCTTTGGCAGTGGTTTTACACCATGGTACCGGTGTTCCCAGTGGTGGTTTTCATGACATGTGACGACGGCTTGCACATAGTGGATGTGCCACTTCCTGCCGTCCCAGCCGGTCGACTCAGCTTTTCCCTCCACAGCGCCCTCACCTGGCGACTAAAAGCAAAGGCCAAGAACACGAAGACGCCCTGAAGCGAGCAAAAGATGATGAACAGATACCAGAATACGGTCAGTTCCGTTGCCACGGCTACGAATCCCAGGATCCAAGCAAAACTCATCAAACTTGATATCTGTTGGAGTAATGCGATTAGAAAAATGTCTACATCAAAATTTAACCTGGCTCGTGGATATTGAGTTATAATTATTTTCAGTGACCAAATTCACCGATTTACTAGAGTATGACATGGGCCCAAGGGCATCAATCGCTTCTCAAAAGTGAGGGGGGGGGGACATACCTTGATCAGAACCAATGCCAGCACGAAGCGCGAAGCCTTAATGGCGTGGGGTTCGTGGGCTTAAGGGCCCCAAAACATTTTGGAATCTAGATCCTCTGTGGTGCGATCTGAGGAAATTTCTGACCATTTTAAACTGGTCAGAGCAAAAGATCATCATTAAAAATCATTTTCGAGTTTATGAATATTAATTAAACAATATAGCGGTCTAGATAGTGGAGCTTTCAATACCTTTGCGTAGACAACTAGCTCCTGCCACACGGCCTGCACCCTCGATGTGTTCCTGCTCACCATGGTCGAAGCTTTCTTACTGGCTCGGATGCCTCGGATGGTCCAAGCGAAGCAACCCACGTTAAAGCAAATACACAGCACGATCGGCACGCAGAACATGAGGAGCGAAGACCCACGGCCTGCCAGCCAGCAGGCCAACCGACCACCGTAGCGAAAAACCAGACGGGTGCAGTCGCAGAAGTGTAGGGCCAGGTTAGGAATGACAATCAACATGGGTGCTCCCCAACCGAACAAGCTCAGGCGGAGGAACCTACCCTTGCCGCCGGCCGTCATTGCCGACGTGGTGCTGGTGAAGGTCCGCATCAAGTCCCATGACATGGCCGCCATCCAGGCGAAAACAGCGAGCCAGACGTAGTGACTGGTGACTGCCACGGCGGTGCAGATAGCCTCGTTAGCAGGATCCACAACAACCGTGGAGAGGATCGCCGACAGTTGGCCGACCAAGATGGCAAGAGACAAGCTCATGATGGCCAGACCGGGAACATTTCTGAGAGTTGGGAAAACGCTGTAAGTAACCAGGGTCGCCATCAGGCCGGCCATAGACAAACTGAATCCCACTACATTGAGAACCTGGGCGGGGTCCTCGAAGGAAACGCGATCCTGTTTGGTCAGTATCAGGTTGTCAGAGAAGCATACAAGTTTTTCACCACTTGGTAGAGTCACGTCAGGCAAATCTGGGTTACGACCATTCTCATTATTTTCATCCCGAGTCTCGCAAGTTATGCTGTTCGCTCTTGTTCCACAGTACCTGAAGAGCTTGAATTTCTCAGTACGTTCTGCCTGGGTGCCGTACCTTATAGTTATCGTTGCATTGGCGGGTCTAATTAATGCTCCGACAGGAACGACGTAGACGAATATCTCTTCGCTAATGTTGACCAACGTGGAGTTCATCTGGTCGATTTCGTAGCATTCCGTGCTCTCGCTGCTGCTCTTGTTAGTTGTCTGTGCTGGGTTCTCCAGATCAGATTTCTCGATGAGCAGGACCTGAGCAAGACCGCAACGATCCGCCCAATTGACCCCGGACGGGTAGCCATCTTGGATCAAGATGTCGTCCAACTCCTCTTCAAGTTGACCCGTGTATTCCAGAGACCAGGTTGCTATGGTGACTACGTTGGTTTCTTTGACGAAGTCCCAATCCAAAACAGATGAAGGGAAGTGCAGAGCCAGTTTGAGATCGGAATAGGCGATCCTGTTTAATAGACATGTCGCAGAGTCAATACCAGAAGATGAGTTCCAAAAGGTCTCAAGAGCACCAATTCTGGTAGTGACTCCTAAGCTTACCTCGTGTCTGCCTTTGCGAAATTTTGCTGGATCCACTCTATCGCTGACATAATATACGGGCTGGGGTTTGATGGGGGAAATAATTGGTACTTCCCCCTTGAGCATAACCTGGAGAGAAGTTATACGGCCATTTTTATAACACACTCCACGGTACGCTGGAAACTCGTTGCACAGTCCGCAGTGCGGGTTTTTATACTTAGTGTCTGGTGCCATGTAGGCCATACATGCGAAAAACGCTTTTGTCGATAGGCATGTACTTACAAGCGAGGTGCAAGGACGCAAGGTGCTATCGTAACCAGATGCTGGTATGGGGACCAACGAGTCGCCTAGTGCATCGGTGCCTGCGATACCATCGCCTGGAGGGACCGCAGCTCCGTGACAGTACGCACACTCCACATTCTTGAAGGGAACTCCAAGCGGTTGGTAAAGAACAGGATACACGTTGGAGGAGAGGTGGCATTGGCTTGTGATGACGTCATCGGCTGCCCACGAGTCGGGGCACCGACTCACGAGGTGATATGCAGAGCTTTGATTGGAACTTACGCGCAAGCACTGGTAGAACTGGGAACTGTCCAATAGTGACGTGAGACCCAAGTCCTGCCCGGTCAGGTTTCTGCCCTCCCCCTCCGTGGATGTCGGACACTCGGAAGTGACGTCATAACAACAATCCTGAAACGTATGACACATTGCGTCACAGCCACACTGGACTGGGGATGACGACTCACCGCAACGCCCGATGCAGGTCTGGTTTGGAAATGCGTTTACTGTCACGCCATGTGATGTTATATCTGTAGGCAGAAAACAAAATACACTTATCACACTAGTGCGCCTGTCAAATGCCTTCAAAAGTGACAATCCCCACGTCTTGGGTGGGGAAGCCGGGGAAGGGGGAGGGGTAGTGGAAACAATTGATAGGCGCATAATATTAGAAACAGAATTGAACCATTGACAGCGATTCATAACATCAGAATTTTTTTCCATCAGGCATAACTTTCGGTTTATTCTGTTTCTTTAAATATCAGTTAATTCTCCTGAAAGATTCAGAATTCATGATTTGGAGGGGAGGCCTGGCCATTAAATCTATGGGACAATAGTACTCGTCCACAGGTGTACAACAACCACTCAAATTCCGAAATTTATGTTGAATTTAATATCGAACCATTTACATTGATTCAAAACATCCGACTGTTATCACGCATAACGTTCTTTGAATATCATTTAATTCTCAGGAAAGATTCAGAATTCATGATTCAGAGGCTGGCCATTGCTCAACGAACCTATTCCATACGTTTACGTGTCCACAGGTGCACAACAACAACGAGTCAAATAGATGAGACTGATGATGAATTCACTAGCTATACCAACCTAGACTGCAAGCGACATTCAGGTAGCGTCCACCAAGTTGCCTGCATTTCTCATTTAACCTCAGCCAGTGCCTTTGACTGTCGGGCCCCTCCCTCAAGAGGTACTCAATGCCCGCGCCCCGGCTCGGGTCATCGTCAGGCGATACCAGATTGAATTCAATAGAGCATTCCGAGCCAATTCGCTTACAAACCGCTGTGGCTAGGAAATCGATAATAAGTACGGGTTCTTCGTACAGACAGGCGGGACCCCAGCCGGTCTCGTTGTATTGCATCTCCACCAATCCAACAAGACGCGAGGGGCCGTCGGCGAGGCGGACGTCGAAGTCCAGACGGTGCAATATGCTGTTGGTACTGACAACGATTTCATTATCTGTATGCGAACCAAACGTGAGGATGTTAATAAGCATTTCACAAGAACAACCAAAAGGACATCGTCACAGCATTATATTCAAAAGTGATTGTTTGAGGTGATCAGAAAACGAGGCTTCGCTTCGCCCGCGATTCGCACTGTGAATACTACTCTTTCAACACAATGTTTCTAGCCATGATTTACCTAGAGTGTTCTTCTTCATTTTGCGACACATAACCCTATCCCAAACATGCATCTAAACATGTTTTCTAGAGAGGGAAAAAGCTTGTGTGAACCGTTTTAGTCCACAGAAGGTTTGCACAACTGCATTGCTTGGAGCTGTTCTGTTTTCAGGTCCACACAAATATGTGACAAGGTTGGCACACGTTTGTTTATTGTGAAATTATTGAGGATTTTCCATTGTTCCTCTTCCTCGATCTTGTGTTCATACTGTCACTTTTTTTGGCAACAGCTCAAGTTTGTTTTGCACACCTTTTCTAATCGAGGACGTGCTCGAATTGACTCCTGTCTTCAATAACTCGATAATACTACATAAACACCATAAACAAACCCACACACCCACACAAATGTGTTTTTGCCTGCATTGGGGACTCCCTATTGTCCCTCTTTTGTTTGTACTGTAACTTTTTAGGAAGACCTCCCATATGTTTTGTACACATCGCCGAACTGAGGACCTCTGGGAGATTGTGGACCCTATTGCCCTCTATTATTCAACGTCCCCTGTCGAATGCAGGAACAAACTCTTTCTTCTTTATAGTACAGCGTTGATGTGTATGAACGAAACTGTTTGAGCAAATGTATTGCTTGTACGTAAATGCAACTGCTTAAGTAAAAAAAAAAACCTACCGTAAGCACAAACGACCTCTATAGGCCTGCCACGATGTGACAGCGTCCCTTTCTCGCAACCACTTTTCAGTGCGGATTTTAAACACGCTGACAGTGAACTCTCCCTAGGTCCACAAGTATCCGCTTCTATCGTAGGGAGTGTAGGGTCCGCTGTTCCGTTTGTGCACGTTCCGTGCAGACCGAGGGCTATCGGGTAGCCTAGGTGCTTGCAAATCAGATCAGCTTGGTGCAGGTCGGCTTCGACATGGGACTCGTTCTGATGCTGACGGCCCGAAAGCCCGACCCAACCTGCCGAGCCCACGTTCAACTCCACCCGCCCCTCGCGAGGAGAACAGCCACCAGCGAGTCGAAGATTATCTACAAGTGAAAAAAACCCAAAGAAGCAAACCGGGTCCTTGGCAAGTTTCTTCAGGGATACGACTATTTTGTCGGGAAGGGAATCACAATGAACAAACAAATGGTACAAATCCGATCTGAGCTTTTTGGTGAGGTAAACAGGGTGACCCAAAAATGTAACCCTAAAACATTTGCCTTCAAAAAAAGGGATGGGTAGAATTGGCATTTTCTCGGCAACCCAAAGGGCTATTTTCATGATATTTTCAGTATTTGAAAGAAAAAGCTCTCAGCTTTAATCTGATACCCAAAACGTAAAAATCCACCGATTTTTTTTGTTTTGTTTTAGGGTTGCATTTTTTTGGGTCACCTTATTATGAGCATAGGACTGATCTGCAACCAAAATTCAAAGACAACCCTTGCTATTTAATAAATTAGATTTTTGTCTCCTAACGCAGTTCCAATTTGAATGTTTTATTTTAACGGGAAAAATAGTCTTTTGCAATTTGGGGCGTCTGATGCAGCCTTCTAGAAAAAAAGCAAGGATCTCAATCTGGATCGTGTTTACGCGCCAACATATTTAACCTGCGAATAGACAGGTTTCCAGTCTCCCCTGCGAGGACTGAATTAATACCGGGCTGCAAAATATAATTATGAACTTTTTTGTGAAGTAATTGTTATTTCACCAGAACTGATTTTGTTTTCGTTCGATACCTCATTCAAAAGTGATGTGTGTGTGTGGGTGTGTGTGTGCGTGTGTGTGTGTGTGTGAAAGAGAATAATTAAAATGATCAATTATTTTCGTGGTGTAACACGAAAACAACAGACACAGTCTTCAATGGCGAAATATGTTCAATAAATTCAAAGTTCGAGGGAAAAGGTCCGATATAAAAGTCAATGAAGGGTTGAGAACGAGACGTACATTTTGTTGATTATATAGTTAATCCATGGAGAACACGGTTTATCTTGGAAAGGTGTCTCATTCAATGGTGTCTCATCTCACTGTTTGTACTAGAGCTACTTCATGGGGTACTCTCACACGGGGAACATTGGTACGCCATAAGCCGGTCTTTGTGAAACGGTACCCCAGATACTAATTTAAAGTGGAGGGATAAGGGGAAAACAAAGCAAGTACCCGGTAAACCCCACCCGTAAGGTTATGTTAATTTAAATGAGTAAAGATAGTATAGTCAGTATAACTTTTCGAGCAGTTTACCTGAGATGCAGATTAGGGCCACATCGGAGCTATGGTCGCAGCTGCTCGGATGACGATTCCACGTAGCCAGTGAGCATGAGATGTTATTCTGGTCGTCCTGCTCGGTGCACACGAAACCCTGAGACCAAATCGGTAGGTCGGCCCTGTCGAATCTCTCGCCAGCAAAACTGAGGCTGTACGGGGCCAAGTACCCGAGGCGAAGGCACACGCCAAGCGCCACCGAACTACGGCAGGCGATCGCCAACACGCTGATGTTTTTGTCGCACACGGTGCCCCATACATCGTTTGGTGGACGTATCTCCAGCCGTCCCTCGTACCCATGCGGTCCGCCCGAGAGTCTGACATCCCAGTCATTCCGGTGGAAAACTTGACCTGAAACTACTGGGTACAAAATAGACAAAATAAGACACTCTGATAGTTTGCAGGTCTTTGCCACATTGGTGTAGTTTCAAGTTTTGTTCGTGTATTATTACTTTTTAGTGGTTTTATCTTCAGCCAGCCAACAGCCAATTTTCAGGATACCTGTACTACAATTTATAAACATAATAAGATTTAGGTCGTAATACGTGGTCTATCCGACCAGCTATTACACAGTCAAAGTCCCGGGTCTCTTTAGATGATGTAGCCCCTTGATGCTCAACTATAGTTCACACTTCTTGTGCCCGTTTACATCTGAAAAGTTCCACCCCCCATCAAAAAAAAAACACACCCAAGGAACAAGAAATGGGAAAAATATAATTGACTCGAGATCAAAATAATACCTTCAACTTAAATACGGTAAAATACGGAACAAAAGTATCATTAATGTGCCCCTAACGTCGGATGATTTTCAGAACTTCAACTTAACGTACACGTGCTAAATATGGTACAAAAGAATCATGAATGTGCCTCTAACGTCGAATGATGTTCAGTTAGTATAACCCCTTCACTTTCTCACCCCACCCTTGATTCTACATTTTACCCATTTCCGGCCAAAATAATGTCGAAGGTTTCCCAGAAGATGGGCAAATAAAGGACAGGACAACTTCAATGGAAGTATCATTGGTGAAAGCTTCATTGATTCATCTGTTAGGATTGCCCCTAATTATGTTGCCACATGTGGCAAAAATCGCAACTTTGACAGTGCAAATGTGCAATCATATTAGGATGTTTTCATCTATTTTGTATGAATAGACGAGAGTTCACCTCCTCCTTCTCTTCTTTTTATAATATAAAGGATTACAACACTTACCTTCGACTATAAGAATCAGCCTGAGAATGAGAATGTGTAGCATATTGAATTGTCTCTAATGATGCGCCTTCGAGCGTTCGTGTCACAATGACAAAATGACTATCAGGTGCTCAACAGCCCGTTTTATTCGCATCTGCCGCTATCTGTCAAGTCCATATATAATGACAGGAATTGATGGAAAGCGCCAGACCCAGCCCCCCCCCCCCCCCCAAAAAAAATACACGTCCATTACTGGAAACGAAGACGCCGTTGTGGCTTTAACCAATCGTTCTTTTCATGTTATTAGGTAATACATGATTTAAAGTTATCCTTCGATACGGCTCGAAAAATTGAAGAACCATCAGCGATAACGTGTTACAGATTTGAAAGCTTTTGAGTACGGTTCGCAGGTTAATGAAATATCTCCCTTTCTCATATGTCGTAGCTACGGGGCTTGTAATAATTCATATTGGTTCCTCATCCATCAGCCCTACTCGTAGTAGCTCATGCAGAACTAATTTATTTTCCAAGTCCATTTCCCCTGAGGCGTGTTCTGCATTAATTGTTTTCAGGGGGGCCGCTCATAAGTCCGATGCCTCATAGGCCCGACGCCTCATACGTCCGACAAAATCGCATCCCCTAACCAAATAGAGGCCCATAAGTCCGACGCCTCATAGGTCCGACGCATCATAGCTTAATTTGTAGCAAGTGCGACAAATTAAACGCCTCGTTTTTCCGTTGTCGGACTTATGAGGCGTCGGACTTATGAGGCGTCGGACCTATGAGACGGAATAAATAAATAAATGTTATGCCTCATAAGTCCGACGCCTCATTAAGTCCAAAATTTCGGACTTATGATACGGCCCCACCTAGTACACATTCCGTTCCCCTCCGTCGTATATCCTGCTTAATAGGTAACTCATAGTCTAGGGTTTGCATGAGATTAGGCCTATATTTGGACGCTTCATTTCATGTTATCCAGGGAGAGAAAATGAGGTTGGGAAGCCGGGAATAAAAACCTTGGCATAACATTATGTATTTTGAAACCTTGTTAATATAATGGGGGTGGCGGTGACGGCCACGACTTCATTTGGTCAATTATTGATTCGATGACAGGAGGCATTACGTCTTGCTCCAATAGATTCTCCAATCAATTAATGATACACGAAGGTTCATACTAATCATGTTATAACATAGGCACAGGCCTACGTTCGCGTATAGTCTTTTTGAACTAAGTGATATTTATGATAATGGATATTCAACTAGTAGACGGAGGTAATTTACATTATTATTATTTCCCATGCTCACTGGTCCAATAACATTCCTTATACCACGAGGTGGAGTATACAGCTCGATGTTGCCATTTTGAGGCAAAAACGGCCTATTTAAATACTATTTTAACCACTCTGTCCTCACAGCATAATACCAATATCACCCAAGGGTGGTGACAGAATAAACAAAGCGTCGGACTGGATTCGAACCCATAACCTGCAAAATTGCCCACTATAGGACTTGAATTTGATTTTTATAGAACACACGGCCACATCACAACATATAACCTATTATAATTCGCAGCAAAACTGGAGCTCACTGGCAACCGCGAAATGGTATTGGTATTTAAATTTTCCAGAATGCAAAAAACCCTGTCTTTACTTACACGGTATTTTGCCAGCCTGAGTTGAGTCATCCCGAACTTTGTGTCTTTAGTAAGCACTTTGCTTGAATGTTGTTGAAGGTGGTTTTGAAGCCGTATTGGGTTGTTGTTTTTGTCTTCAATTAATATGAGGATTCTCGGTTACCAACGTCACGGATCAGTTGTTCATCTGGATTTGCATTTATATTAATCATAACAACGCCTCCCACGCAATACGAGGCATCAAGAGAGTTGGCTATTTGCCAAATTGAAAGGTTATCTAAGGTGTCTGGTGCCCTTAATGCGTGGAATGACTGGTGATATTTTGTGTTGGGCATGACAAACAAATTGCGAAAGTTGTTAGCCTTGTTGATCCTTGTCAAAGGTCCTTGTCATTTGATTGGTGGAACTCACATCACGTGCCATTCGTTATTGCTCCCATTCACGCCGCGACTCAAAAAGTACTATCCGCCCATGGGGAATGGGAAATACTATTGAACAGTTAGGATCATTCTTGTTCCATGACGCGGTGTTTGTGTGCAAATCACTGATCTCTATATAAAGACTGGATAGCGGATATGCATACAACATTCACACAGTAGACTTTGCATATTGACCAATTCGCCCCCGGTCTCACGAAGATGGCCGCGTATAATACGAACGTTCTACGCGTAAATACGCGCGCGTTGTATCAACAGTTGACGCGCATTTTGGTCACGTACACATATTATGATGTTCTAAAAGGAACACATTTCCGTAGTGATTATTATTTCAAAAACGCCGAAAAAGTGATTTGCGGCATTATAAAAGTAACCACTACGTTAGAAAAATTGTAGTAAACCTTGGTCAGTTGGTCAGTGGTGGTGGCCAAAATATAAGTCAAGTGAGCCGCGACGTTACAAAAGAAATCAAGCTGTCTATAAAGACGGCAACTTGTCCTTTATAGATCACCAGCCGGTCTCACCAATATGGCGTCAAATTCGTACATTGTGCGGCTCTTTATTAGCTATCCAGTCTTTATATAGAGATCAGTGGTGCAAATGCATGCTGGTGTGCGCGTTCAGCGTTGTGCGTAGCGCGTATTGTTCCAAAGAACCAGCGCTTCGGCGTTGGGTTCAAACATTTTCGTGAAGGGGTGGTTTGGAAGAGAGAAATACATTTTTCTCTAGTTTTGTATTGAAATAAAAGTTCAAATATATCAAATGACAAGGATCTATATGTCAGTTATATAAAACAAATATTGAGTGGCTTTGAATTGTGAAATGGGAGGAATATTATCGCTCGGTAAAATCTGGACTTTTCCAGTTCACTCAGCTTCGTCTCGTGAAATGGAAAAGTCCAGGTTTTACCTTGCGATAACATTCCTCCCATTCCACGCTGAGCCACTCAATATTTGTACACTATACTCATATAAGGCGCAGAAGTGCCATAGCCCAGACTAGGCTCGAACCCACAACCTGCATAATTATGCAGACCACGAATTCAGATGTGGTCATCTTTGGCGTATTGTACATACACTCACTTAATTTGAAGATTAGAAAAAAACAACAACAACGTTTCTCGGAAATCAGCGAGATGATACGTGTGCACTTATCGGCTGACTGTTTAATGGACTGAATGTAATCCTAAGTCACCTGGAGATGCGGTAAATCTGTTTTTTCAACGCAGCAAATTGAATCGGTATGAGATCCTTATACTTTGATCCCGGTGGTGCGTCATACTCCACGTCAAAGTTACAAATCTGGTCAATGAGGAAAGGTCTTGTATTCCCAAGCTTTGCTTGTATATCAAACCTGTAAAACAAAAAATGATTAGAGGTGCAGTCTTCATCTCTATAAAAGGGTGTTGGGCGCTGGGGTCATAACTCAGTCTCAAAGTTTCCCTTTCGTCGAACGGACGAGGAGAAAACGTCTCAAGAACTTTGAAGTTGGCGAGAAGTTATCTGAGGTATGTGCTTTTCACTGTCTGAGGTGGTGGTGTACAGGGTGGTGCAAAAAGAAGGAAACCCACTTTTGACAGGAATGTCAACCTACTTACTTAACTTATTTGAACTGGTTTTTTTGTAAGGTAGTGAAGTATAGCTCTTCAACCATACGTGGTAAAAAAACAAATCTTTAAAAAATATCGTAAGAATAGTGTTATTATGCTAATTTGAATACAAGTCACCGAAATCACTGTTGTCCACGTGTAAGTTTATGGGTTTTTTTGTCTTCAAATGAAGCTCCGGAGCTCAGTCAAGTGGAGGGAATAAGGCCGTCCGTGGACAAACAGGTTTGGCAAATGAAGTATTTAAACGACAATATCTCAGAGACAAAATATGCACTTGCAATCATTTGTTCGTCACTTATGTTTAAAGATCAATGTTTTAATACCTTTAAATTGAATTTTTGAAATATGCTTAACAAGTAGGTGAAAATTGCTGTCAAAAGTGGGTTTCCCTCTTTTTGCACCAGTTATTAAATAGCTGTAGTCAACGTGCTTTCAGTAAAATCTGCTTACAGTTCGAATGAGCAACATTGTCGGTCCTTTTTTTTCGTTTACTGAACTGTGATTTTCGTGTAGATTATATGAACTCCTTGGTATTTGTCCATTCGTTAAGTGCTAAAGACTTTTTTGCAGATAATTCTTTTCATAAAAGTAATCTCTCTCTCTTCCTTCGTGGGTTTTATAAATGCCTTTTGTTTTGGAAAAATCGACATCAGTGGGCTGCAGATGGGTCTTTCCATTTTAATAAATTGCCTTTGTGGGGTTTTGTCCACTTAAACGTTTTAAGGTTTTTTGTCTTCATTTTATATCCAACTATTTGTTTTCCCTGATTATTTGCCGGTCTGTCTTATTGAACGCTTGTCTTATGAATCACTCTCTTCTCTTATGCCCTCCTCCCCACACACATGACCCCCGCCCCCAACAATCCAGACCTACGCCATGTCGGCTCATCAGTTCTCCGGCCTATCAGTTCTCCGTCTCTTCCCAGCCCTGATGCTGCTGTTCCTGCCCGTGTTTACCGCCATGCCGAGGCAGAAGATCACCGGACTGGGCCCGGTACTACAGAAGCGAGTGGCCCACGTGCAGCTCGGAGCACCGAGTCACACGGGTAATTACATTTTACATCATTGTACCACATTTCATGTTCCGACACCCCTCTGTTCCGACAACTCGCAGATAAGATTGTGTTAGTTACTCCCGGTTAGAGTTAGGGTTAAGGTAAGGGTTGGGAATAGGATTATGTGCAGTCGGACCATAGGGGTGTCGGAACATTAGAGGTGTAACTTTCATGGAACATGCTTAGCTCCGAAAACTTCCCCCCCCCGCCCCCCTTCCGCCGCCAACCACCCCCCCCCCCCCCCCCCCCCAGTTATCGGTAAAAAAATCGTACAAAATGAAGCAGAACTGCGTTGCACTGAAGAAAGTATAGTGATGAAAACAAAAGTTAAAGCAGTGCTCACCGGGAATTATTCTGGCGGTTTGAATGTGGATTTTTCTGCATTCAAACAGTCCGTCCAGCTCCGATGAAGGCCTAGTGGGGCCGAACATTTAGCCAGAATAATTCCCAGTGAGCACTGCTTTAACTTTTGTTTTCATCACTATCGGTACATTAGTTGTCTACTGTGAATTGCCTCATCCAGTATTTTACAGCAGATTGTTGCAATGGAATTTTCCCCATGAATTTGGACCGGATATCATGGATTGTTTTACATAAAAATCTACTTTAGGCCTATGGACTCCGTGCGCCAACAAAAGAGGGCGCGTTTTTACCACTTTTGAGAACCCAGCGGACGGGCCACGCAGCGTGTGCGTAATGTACTGTACTGGTTCGCGCGTGAAGTATACGCACGACTTCCTGAATGTGCCAAAGCGAAGATCTCCTAGACTTATCCCCGCCCCCGATAACTTTGGATCATTCGAAATACGCAGTGGATGACCAGGATACAGTCTAGGTTACCCCCAACTCTGCTTTTCCGGCCGTTGAAGGGGTACTTGTACACGGAGCCCATAGCTGAGCAAAACCGGGCTGCAAGTGAAATTGCTGTGAAATGTGTGTTGCCTCTTAGACTCATTTCCTGCAGATTTTGTTTTTTAAATCACGTAAGTTGATGAGCAGTAATTGCTTAATAACAGCGACATGTAAATTGGGCCTGAGTCTGTTGGCCCAACTAGAAACAGCTATGATACTTTTTTTCCAGGATGTGTAATGGCTGCATGGTGCAAATATAATGTAAGTCAACTAGGCCAGCATCTTGCAAAGATGGCTTTATTATTTTGTTTAGTGATATGTACTCATGATAATGTCATTGCAATAAACAAAACCGAAAGACCGTACGCATTTTATTTAGCCATCTACAGTATGTCCAAAAAAGTGTCAGTCTGACAGTTTTTCAAATAACTACAAACCATGAGGTCAATTTTGAAAATGTTGGGTTGTGCAGATACTCCTTACCCTTGGCCTAAATCCCGATGAGTTTCATTTAATTTCAGTCACGCATCACGACACATTTGTCAATTGATCACAACAACATATTTGGACACTGTGACCAAGTTCCATGCCTTAATCAATTTCAGTGCTGTTTTAATTTTATGTAAGCTGTGAAAAATCCTGCGGGTTGTGAAAAAAAGGCTGATGTGGTTTGGGATTAGAATAATTTGTCCTCGAGCATTTAAACTGAGGTCTTAGCATGATGATTGATTGCCAGGAAAACGATTCCAATCCCAACTTGCAGGATTTTACACAGCTTACATTACACAACACTGAAATTCATTAAGGCAAGGAACTTGGTCACAGTGCCCAAAACTGTTGTTGTGATCAATTGACCATTGTGCAGTGATGCGTGACTGAAATTAAATGAAACTCAAAGGGAAATAGGCCCAGGATAAGGAGTATTTGCACAATTAAACATTTTCAAAACTGACCTCATGGTTTTGTAATTATTTTAAAAATAGTCGGCCCTTTTTTTAGGGTGAAACTGCAATTCTTTTCGTCAGATTTTTCATTTCTTACCAAACGACCGACCCTACTTCAGAGGCATACAAATAATATGCGAACCACAGAAATAAGAAGGGGTTCCCTCCCCGAAGCTGCAATGAGAGTCATTGTTATTAATCCCAGTAAGAATATTCCGCTAAGAGATGTCCAGGTGAAGTCATTAATTGGCTTTCTTGTTTTTGTGGGACCCCAATATTCTACGTCATTCCACAGCTAATGGTGTCTCATGAGAGTTCTTCATTCGCTTCAATCAGTGTGATTAGTCCGCCTAGAGATGTTAAGGTTGCATCATTAATTGGCCGTTGTACCATGCGCATGGGCGTACTTGCTCCCCTTCCCCCCGAAAAAGGGGGGAAAAGGGGGGGGGAGGAAAATGAGGTGCGGAGCCATATTCCTGTTAATTTGATGGGGGGAGGGCAAATGCTCCCTGCTCACGCTCGGAAAAATGATAAACCGAGAATATATTGAAAAAGTTCAGGAATTTTGGGGAAAATTTGCTTTGCCCCCCCCCCCCGGAAAAAATCCTGGCGACGCCCACCATGCGGCAATATATGTCATGTAATTCGTTCCATCCATCAGAATACCTGCAGGTTTTTATTAACGGAGATCGTTTTGAGGTGTTGGCTAGGGTTACATGTCATATCAGTGGCGTAGCATCCAGGGGAAGGAGGGTATCCCCCACCACCCCTTCCTTTTTTTCCACGAGTTCCTTTTTTTTAACGAGTGCCCTTTTTAAAACAATAATCGTGCCCCTTTTTAAACAACTGTGCAGCTATGAAGAGCGCCACCAATTGTCCGATAGTGCCCATGATCGTCCGCTGCTAGAAGTTGTGATGTCATTTTGAGTAGAATTTCGGCCAAAGATGTTGATTGGTCAATAGCTGCCATGTTTTTGTCACACAACATCGGGTTACCGAAGACACGATAGAAGGCGCCCACTGAATGGTCAGAATCGATGTCAAGACGCAGTGCAAGCATAGGCCCCCGCCCCAATCAAAAATGACCTTGCTTAGCGCCTGTGGATGTAGTTCAATACGTGGATGCAACAATGCTTTTGGCATCGCACTATTACACTGCTACCCTCATGGTCATAAGAACTTGTGGAAAACATGTTTTTATGTATCTTGTTGGTGTACATATACAAGTTCCCATTCGACAACTTAATAATTTAATCCTTTTAACCTATAACCTCGGTGTTCGGCTCAAAAACAAAGCTACATATGAAATACAATGCAATTCTTACTATTTTTGATGACATTTTAAAGGCATATAGAATCATTTGCCTTTCTCCCAAAAGTACCTACCGAATTAGTTTCAAAAACGTATTTGGATGAAAGATCGTCTAGTGCTAAACATCCCGCAAAATGATACCGCCTGACATGCTTTGATTTAAAAGAAATAAAGAAATGTAGGTGATTACCAAGATCAGTCAATAAAGAGTGCCGTGGATGAAATCGTGTTTCGCGATAAAAGGTTGTGCATGCTTTTACACTGTTTTCCTGAAAAGTGTATTATGCACTGGGTTGAAACATCAACAGCTTAGTTTTGTACATTCCTCTCCTGATTTTAAGGGGTGTTTTTATTGGAAACGAACAAAATTAATGTAAAGCAAAATGATCCCGTATGCCCTTAAGGAAAATGATTATTTCCAATGCCAGTAAAAGTTCCCACGCCTCAGATAGCAGGACGCGTGTATCGATCCACTTTTGCGATATATCCGCCGTGATACTATATTAGTTATTATCGCTATCAACATTAACAATTCGTTTTCTTTAACATCGGAAAGTTATATTACTTGTATTATCAACGGTCATAATTTATTCGAAAAACGATAGTGTTATGCAAGGCCGACTCGCCCAATATTAAAATACGCACATTTGAATAATTCACAAATACCAAAGCCAACTTATTGATCACAAATGTTGACGTCAACATCTTTTGAACAGACGTGAGAGGGAGTGGGGTAATGTCTTACACGAATCTCGACTTCTTTTTGGTGCAATTCACATTCAGAAACAAATAAAAGTGCAGGGAGTTCACAGGCACTGTCAGTGTTTCGGTTATCTACAAAGATGCCAAAATTAATGCTATCAACGTCATGACCTAAATTTAGGACATATCTGAAGCACATCAATGGTGTCACTCCATTCAATGTGAAGATATTAATGTGAATTTTAAAGTTTAACTATTTATTCTTCAAGTGTCGTGCGAATCAGGCTTAGGATAAGAACGAGAGGTTTTGATCGCATGTGTCTGCACCAATACGTTTCCCTTTGACTAGAGTACATCTCACCCCCCTCGAAAGCCGAGCAATTTCCGGAGAAAAGACGATTTCATGGGTATCTTTGAGAGTTGACAGAGCATGATGCGGCGGATAACTGCCTTGAAATCTGGGTGCCGGGCGGTGTAAATCACGGGGTTAATGCAGTTGCTGCAGACGACAAGCCCGCCCAGAAAGGGAGCAATTTTTTGGGACTTGTCCCTATAAAGCACATTAAATGCTGAGTACGGAGTGAAACATAGTACGAAGAAAAAGACAACAAGAAACAAAGTAAGGGTAATGTCAACACTCCGACGAAACTGCCGTCTGGTTCCTTGTCTTGGGGCAGCACGGGACGGCGGACGGTTGACGGGCAGAAATCTGCGTCTGCCTCCCTGCAGACGATGATTTGGAGCAGACATCTCCAACTGGTTGTTGGGTGGAACATCTTCACGGGGTGATGGATGTGGCTGCCTGGGTATTCCTGGTTGTGGAGGTATCCTCATGTCTCCTCCAACGATGGCTACGGGCTGCACATGGACTTCAACTCTTCTGTTATGTCTCCTTACCGTGTAAAAGATAACTGCATAGCTACTAAAAGTAACAACGAGCTGCACTGGATAGTAGACGGTCACCATTATTTTGGAGAACGTATCGGAACGATGAGCTGTCGGGGAGTAGGTACAAGTGCTCAGTTTTTCATCGTATCCGTACGAGCCTAACACAGACACAATGGGCAGGAGACCGACTACAAAAGGGATCAGCCAGCTAGTAGCGACAATGACTATTAGACCTCGGCGATTGAATACGGAGAAGAGACGGCTGTGGTTTGTGCGACGAGTGATCAGGACACGGTACACGGCGATTATCGCGATGTTGTTCATGCTACACCCGATGCAGACGACGAGTACGAAGCCCTGAAAAGCGCAAAGACTCTCTGAAACGAGCAAGTGCTGCCTGTCTTCGCTCAGCATCGCCAAGACCGAGATGGGCAAACTCAGACACGAGATGAGATCCGCTACGGCCAGGTTGACCACAAAGACGCTGGTGGTTGTGCGAGGTTTACGCGAGAGAACAACGGCCAGCAACACGACACTGTTGCCCAGCACACCGGCGAAACAGATGAAGCCATATACAGCTGCTAATATCTGCTTCTCGGCGCGACTGTCAAAGACAGATGACACAGAACTGACTCCGTCTGTTGAGGTTACATTTAGTATACTTAGTTTGTGATTTTGAGCCATTTTGAGAAAGCAACATTCGCCTCCTACATTCAGTTGTTGACTGTTGTTTACTGTCCATCCAGAATTTAGGACCAGCTGCTGATTCCCCATGGGTTTACCGATTACCTTGTCAATCAATCCCTTCAGAATAAACAAGATGCTACGAATCAGGAATACTGCACGAGAAAATCCTTGATGACGTGGAACTTACCTCATTCGCTGGCAAGGCCAGCACACCGTCTTATAATTATATTACTTTTTTCTCATCACCACGTCTGCCGGCACAAAACAAGAGTCATTACGTTTCTTCTCTAGGAAACCCTGGTTTTATTTCTCTCTCCCCCTCTCTCTGTTATTAGTTCTATTAATCACTTCAATTTAGCTTTGGGCTTTTTTTCTTATCTTTCACTGGAAAGGTGGTCACATTTCTTAAAGTTCTACCTCTTGTTTCCTGAAATGGCTATGTTGAAAATAAAGGAATAAATGATGTGCTGGGCCGGTTTTCAAGACGTACGTTTAAAACCGGCATGGGCCGGGCCTTGACGCTTCGACTCGGGCCATTATCGGCGACCAGATAAGCCGTTTTTAAATGTACCGTAATCGTTTAATACCGGCCATAAATTTTCCCATTCATATATACCTTCGGTCAAAAAGTCACAAGTCAAAACGTTTTATAATTTTCTAACGATTTTGTTCCACTTTTTTACTCCATTTTTTTTAAACACCCCTCTAGCTATGTTTATGGTATGTGCCTCTCGCGAGTAGTACTAAAAATCTCCTTATATGGAGATTGGTGCGCGCGTGGTGCGTACACGCACGATGTGGCGCAGAGGGCGACCGCGGCGGTGCCGGTGTATTGTGAATGCAGGACTCTATGAAAAGAAAGAATCATTGGTATTATTGCTTATGATAACAGATCATACAATGATGTTGTCTTTTATTCATAGAATTGTTCGGTATGTACGATGTTGATTCCGATGGTTTCTTGGAGCCCGTTGAGCTGATGTTGCTTCTGCAGCGGCCCGACCAGGTCAACGCAGTGGACGAGTTCGTTCATAAGCTGAAGACGGTCCTCACCATATCCGAAACAAACGGTAGGTCAAAGCGGTGCTAGTGTGGCACAGCACTTTCCTGGCTTTAAAAAATGCACGTATGTTTTTATTCAAATTAAAACTAGGTTGGTGCATGCGATCTACAATCATATTGTAGGTCTATATAGCAGAACTTAGGTTATTAACTGCAAGAACTTGGTGGTGTCAGAGTTCTGGAGCTTCTACACCAAAGGAGGGTTAGGTGAAAAAGTAATCTGGTGCTATGGATAGCTCATGTGCATGGCACCTCTGGCTCATGAATAATTCATATAAAGGAACAGCAAGCGACCATTTACATATTGCCATTGCACAATGTCTCCGCTTGAACTTGTTTGATTGCTCGCGGGACGTGAGGGGATTGGAGTGTTTACCATGCGCCTGGTCTCGTCGATCATCTCAGCTCACAGGAATGATCTGGGGCTTGTCGGTGGTCGCTGCCGCACTTCTTGCTGTGGTCCAGCGATGTGTTCAGCAATCTCCAAGGGATCTACGTTGTCAGTGCTCTGTCGCTCCGAATAAGATGAAGTATGACGGACATCTTCATAAGATGAGGCCTCCAACTTGGGGTGGAGGTAGCCGGTATGGCCATCTTCCCAGCGCTATAGCTAGTCTGATACTGTGGCTGGCAGAACCCTCTTCTGGACGTGGAAAAGGGTGTTCATAGGTTGGCCTCGATAAAGTGCCATCACACAAGGGTCATTAGGTTGAACAGACCATCCGCTGCACATGGGCACTGCCTACTCAATACTCTTTGGCTGATAAATAATTAATCTTATAATTTGTTGGTGATTTATTTCATAAAATTTGCACTAAATAAAGAGGAAGAGCGGCTGCCGAGTGAAAAAGCGAGGTTTTAAACAAATGATTCAGTATTGTCCTTGAAAGGGAAAGCAGATTTCAGAATTAAAAAAAAATTACTTTACAACCCCTGCCCCCCCCCCCCCTCAAAAAAAAATTAGAAGACATGAATCTGTGGTGCAAATACTAATGCAAGAAGTTGATTGTTCTATTTATTTCAGGGGATGGGAAGTTGGACATTAGCGAGTTCACCGAGGCTGTGTCCGGAGACTCGCGTGCTCCTAAGCAGGTTGAGGCCTCCGGGGCTTTTGAGCTCTTCGACGAAAATGGGGACCAAATACTGAAGTAAATGGCATGGATCTGATACACTAAATTGCCGTATGGTATTATTGCAGGTTCCTTGTGTGTTTCTTGATCAGGCTAAGTTAAAAAAAAAATCAGGCTTTTTGAAAATGGGAAGGAGGTGGCTCTTTTTTCCTCAAGATGGCGGATTTTCCAAAATGGCAAATGGATTCGTCCATTTGTTCGACTCTTCTGACGATACTTTTATGTTTAAAGGAGCCCTAAGCATTTCTACCAGATTTTGACATTGTACACGTAATAGGCATATAGCTAAAATAGACAAAATTATGATAAATAAAAAACGGGGCTTGAAAAGGAAAGCGGGCGGGCACGAAAAACTGTGGGTTTTTTTTAATGGCCTTACTTATTATTCTTCATACACACTTTCAGACTGGAATAATCTCTTAAGCAAAGCGACCCGAGGCCGTGAGTCTTACTATAGTATAATGATCTCTTTTGCATCTAATTGGACACTTTTGTATCGAATATTGTGAATCGGTCGTTTCATAGTTCGCTGTTTTTGTTTTAGTTATACGGAGGTAGTCAATGCTATTCAACGTATGACCGGAACTGCGCCCTCTAGGGACCTCGTCGAGCAGATGTTCGCCAGCACGGACGCCAACAGTGATGGCGCCATCGACGAAATCGGTAAATTCCAGAATGACCGGGGAAAAAAACTGTTTCGCAGTTTTTATTGAAAGGCTGATTTAAGGTTGATTATTATTATTTCTTGTCATGCTGCTTGTCATGATAAATTGAATTGAACAAAAAAAAACGTAGACTGGTATTATCCGCACTATGATTGTAGGGATCTTATAATTGACGTGGCTTCAAAAACTGGCAAAAAGCTCTTATCCTATAATGACTGATTTTGACTTTTCCAGAGTTCGCTCGAGCCATGCAAGTAAACGGAGAGAGTGAAATCCACATCAAGTAACCGACCTTGCGAGGAATCGCACCCACCGTCAAAACAGAGGTCAAAGAAAAGTATCCAAGCTATTTCCATATTGCGCCACCACCCGTCAACGAATGCGTGTCACACATGCTTATGGTGCTTCTTTTTCCACTGCAAAAATAATAGACCTCAGCCTCGACTCCATGGGCGCGTGCGCGTTCCTTCACTAACCTTGAGATCGCGCAAGGCATGATGGGAAACAACATGGCGCAGCAAGATCTCGTACCCATGGGAACGAGGTTGAATAGACCTTATTCACGAGGAAGCTATTTTTGGTCGTGTTCCCCGAATGCATTTGATCAATTGTAAACTGTTGAATGGGATGGTGCCACACTATTTATGCGTTCCAAGCCTCACTTTTCATTTGTTTTTAAATGTGGCTTAAAATATTAGGGTGTGTTAACTCACAAATTTTAAATGATTCATCAGAGCAGACTGGTATTAGTTTGTAATGACTTTTATGTCATTGCCTTCATTTCTATTCCCAAGTTCCAAAAATGAAGATTTTACCTCGCTTTCAATTTAATGTGGCTGACTCGTGAATATTGCCTATAGTGTCCACCGAGCTGAAACTTCAGAAAGTAGTTTGAAAAGTTACCATTCATTTCGAGTTATGTTGTTAGGATCAGGTAGGCCCACTTTTGACATAGTATTTATGTTCAATTTAAAGGAAATGTGATTTTTTTTTTATTTCATTTGCTTGGGCGAGGCATGTCAAAACACCCTCAATAAGTTTACAGTTATTGTCTCGGTTTAGCTTAGTTATTTGTATTCGAGAATTGACTGGATAAACCTCATCCCACAGGAAAAGCGAAATGAAGAACATCACACTAAAAAAAAACATAAATGCGCATTTCCAACTAGCGAATCTTTGACAATGCTAAAACAAAGTCTCGAAAAACGTTCCCCTAATGAACGGGTTGCACGTGATAGACATTTTGCATAAACAAATGCGCCCCTAAAACCGGCCCGGTCCAGATTCACTTTTAGCTAAAAGTTGTTCACCCGTGTGGTGTTTTCCAAATTGATTCCAAAAAATGGAAAAGTAAAAGCTTCCTTTTTTCCACCAATCCGAAATGTAATCTCTTTCGTATAACAAATTGAACAAAAATGTCGCTAATGTTTAGTTATGTAACCATTCTTTAGAAAACCCTAGACCAAAGAAGCCGAACCAAATTGGTCCCAGATTGGGCGCAGATAAGTATTTTCAATTGATTCAGAAATTCTATTCACTTGAGATCTTTTCATGCATCTGGTCTTGAAACTTTGGCCCGAATGTAGCCTATTAATTAACGTTACGCGGTTCTCCTATACGACAGCACTGCCCGAATCCTTCCCCGATCTACAATCAGTCCAGGTCACCACTGACGGGGAGCCAGTCGGTCAGTCAGTCAGTCAGTCAGTCAGTGAGAGAGGTACTATACGTGTAAAACAAAATGTCCTACATGCTGTTTATCAATGGAATTACCTAAAATTTCAGATCATGTAAACAAGGCAAGACAAATTTTATGGAGTGAGTTTCGTCAGCTTTATGCAAGGAGGGTGGGATTTAAACGCCATACGAAAAAAAAATTAAAATTAAACCCACTAATAATAACTTCCTTGAATATCGGTACCAAATATATCGAGAGTAAAAAGTATCGTTTACGACACTAATGAAATTACTTGACAAATAAAATAGGCACGGAATAATGATTTTTTTGCAGAGTTATTTATTTGTGCGTTAGCAAATATTTAAAAGTGCAGTAAAATTCCCATTTGTCTCAAAACAACTGATAGGTCTACATCCTTTAATTTGTCTCCAGTCTGTGACGTGGTATCTTTTGAAAGAAAAAAAGAACAAAATGAAAGCTGAAGTGTCTAGGCCTATACTGATAAAATTCATTTCAAGACCCTATAATTAAAACAACATCATCAATGCGAATTAAACAAGCCTGATCGTAATGAGCAATGAATTGTGGTGCGGGATTTTGGATAATCGAACCCATGTGATGCTGAAGCAAGCTGTCTATTGGACTCGTAATGCGTGACGTGTTTTGTTTATCCAAAAAGGGCATTGTTGTAGTTGGTACGTGCATGTTTAGCCAGCGCGAAACCTCGTTTGGCTTATATACCAATCTGACCACGCTGTCAATATTATGTGAAAATACTGAGCAAGTTATTGTTTAGAGAAAAGTATGCACAATGGTTGCTACATTGAAGGGGGCCTCGTGCCAGCCTCGACTCCAGGGGCGCCCGCTCGTTCCTTACACTAACCCTTGGCTGTGATGATGACGTAAATGACGCTGAATGGCTATTCACAGCGTACTGCGCGCGCATTTCGAAGATTGCACGCCGGGCGCGCCCATAATGCGCTCGCGTACTTTGCACGTAACGTCACGTATATTAAAAAAAATTATGATTCAAAAGTCGCGATGCCTGTACGATATGGATTATGTGAGCCGCGTTTTTCGCTAAAAAAAAAACCTGTATCTGTTGTTAGTAAAGGCACGAAAGGGGTACGTACATTTAATACAAATCTTTGCTAATTAACACAACGTCCAAACGTTGTGTTTGAAAGGATTGATTCTTAAAAATCACAACTTTTAACATTTTAAAGATGGCGTCGGCACGTAAAACGCATAAACTGCAGCCCTAATTATAATGTGCCGTATTTTGGCACATTTAAATTAAACAATTCCAGGGGTTACGATCGCGCAAGGCATGATGGGAAACAACATGGCGCTGCAAGATCGTACCCACGGGGCACGAGGTTGGCCTCGTGCGTCTACAGTGATCACGTGTCCAGATAGTCTGGTGCCCAGACCAAAAGATTCTGACTTTTTCTGATTATCGTAGGTCAGGTAACCGCCAGGGCACGTGACTAAAACGGGAGGAATGTCTCCCGTCTTTCGTCGACAACCTCAGATAGCGCCTGAGTATTTCCAGGTATAAAATAGGTTTTATTCACCTGCCGCGCTTATTAAACATTTTAAACAATGAATTGATAATTAATATTCATCGCTTGCTTTAAAGGTAGAGTCCATCATTTGTAATTTGTGCATTTTGTTCGTTTGAAGCAACAAAAGAGTTCAAAATCTAATGAAGGATACTGAGCAACTAACCTGATGAAGTTTCAGCTAAGCTTCAGCTGTACATTCCGAGAAAAACAGCATTCTAAGATCTCAATTTCAAATCAAAAGTTGCTGAATCATGTTTTGAATTGTTTTGAATTGCAACTATACGCGACGTCGCGCACTGATCCGACGAATTATAACGACCACGCGCGCGTGTGCGTCGTTCGAATACTTGTGCGCGCTGCGCTGAATAACAAAACGAACTTCTAATTTAAATTTTCCTACGGTGCTTCATAAGAATCACCGTTGGAAATGCCTTCTTTCGTTGATTACTTCAAAATGACAGCTTCCCAGAAAGAATAATTTCACAGGGAGTTTAGTCTCCTTACTATCTTTCAACCAAGTTAGTTTTTCAACAATAATTAGGCCAGTTACTTTTCGGATGGCTGCAAATGATGGACTCTACCTTTAAAAAAAAAGTTGAATTCAATGGCAATTTTGAGCGTCAAGTTGCACTCACATCGTACGAGGGGCGAGCTTTGCTGCGTCATGTACTATTATGAATCTGACGACGGTAACCGGGATATTTCAAAACTCGGCGTGGTCTCAATTTCGGCTTAGGCTTGCTATTCAAATTGGGTCCCTATAATTTTGAAGATTCCAGGTCAACATTAGTCAATGTTTTCCTACACAATTGTCAAACTGTGTGATATAATTATGAAGCAATTTTTTTTTTAAATTTGATCGGAACATTCAACGATTTTAATGATAAAGCCAAACCGGAAACGAAGACAAAGTTTGAAAAATGGCTGTTATGTCTATTTCTTAGCCCGGTGGGTGTTGCCTGACCTACAATTTAGACGTCTGGGCGTCGGGGAATTGTCAGGTCAGGGAACCAGACTTGTGCACGGATTCTTCTTTATAACATGTATATTCTATGGTGGCCTCTAAAGTCATGTTAGACAGTTTATACATGCCTCCAGCCCTAAAAAAAAAAAGGTTCTACTCTGCTGTACACCAATCAGCAACTTGTGAATTAATTTAATTAAAAGTTCATCTACTCAAGCTGGGAAAAAAAGGTTAAAAAGGGTAATAGAGGGCGGGGGACAGTATGTACACAACACTACATTATGTTTTTTTTTATAATTTAAAGCTAACAGATATTTTGCCTAACATTTTGAGCAAAGTTCGTTTGATTTGAAAAAAAAAAATTAAAGATTGTTGGGAAAAAATGTTAACTGGACCAAGCCAGATCGGTTTTTTTGGGGTTCTATTTACAAACTCAGCCCACATTTTATAAAATAAGAATGTAGCAGTTCAGAACGAAGATTCCGCAAATGCAATGATGAGCGCCTTCAGTGCATTGCATTTTCAAAGGTCAGGGCCCGATTATTGAGATTTGGTGTGTGTGTGTGGGGGGGGGGCTGAATTTTCTATCTATAATTCGGAAAACCAAACTCACTCATTAAACAGCTTATTAAAAGTTATACAACCAACGGTTCCCTGAAGGGAACTCATTTCCCCAGCCCCAGCGTCATTCAACTGGCACGTCATCGATTTGGTTTGGTCGCCATCTTTGATTGTGTTAAACGAGGCGCACCACTGCGCGCGCAAACAACGGAGGGCGCACTGTAGGGTGAGGCGCGTCGTGAATTGCGTCACTACGCGGTCGCCGAGGCAATGGCCGGGCCCAAATGGGGAGCTGAACAGCCAGTTAGGGGTCTTAACACTTGAGTAAGCTGTCTGGTGAGTAGTCACCTGTTCAGGCGCTGTAGTCACCTGTTCAGGCGCTGTAGTCACCTGTCCAGGCGCTGTTGTCACCTGTTCAGGTGCCGTTGTCATTTGCTGAGGTGCCGTTGTCACTTGCTGAGGTGCCGTTGTTAGCTGTTGAGGTGTCGTGATCACAATTGTTGTAGGCTGCTGTGGTAAAGTTGTTATCGGCGTTGTAGTGTCCTCTGACAGTAAAAACAAATAGAACGAGGGCATTAGATGAATGAATACTCAGGTGTTGAGACAAACTATTAAAATCACAAAATGGAATTATTCACAATGAAATAAAAATGTAAATGCAGTATTTTGGGATGTTTGATTTAGTGTGAATAAACAATAAAAAGAACTGATAACGAATTCAAACGTTCATCTAAAAATCTAAGTTTTGCAAAATTCTTACCTAGCTTGAGTTGACAGGATACTAATGGGTCAAGGGTGTCACAACTGACGTCATTCATCACACTCCACGAATGTTCATGGTAGATCTCCATGCAGTTCTCATCGGTCCCTCCATTAGTTTGAAATGGATTCTCTAACATGCAAAAAAAATTAAATCTAAATTAACGGGTCTCGCAGTAACGTCCTGACGCATGTAAGTACGTGTGTCCACTGCGCGTGCGTGGTACAAACGGGTTTTTTTTTGGGGGGGGGGTATTTAAAGGAAACATGCATTGGAAATTCAGCTCATCTTGTTGTCATGCACATTACCAAGTGTTGCAAAAATACATACAAGCTCTTAATATTTGTTTTCATTTGAAGTGGCAAGAAAAAGGTATTTTTTCAATTATTAGCAAATCCTTTCAACAATAGAAATTCACTTTGGAATAATGTTTTTGGTATTAAAAGATGGGCAAGACTCGAGAATAAAAAATCAGAACAGCTGGAGTTTCGAATTAGTCTTAAGGCTATCGCGGAAAAAGTGAAAGGGGGGGCTGATTCCGCCCCGGCCCTTTTAGGGTTAACTTCCGGTGCCAATGGTTCCAACGCCAGACTTAATCTCACCAGTCGTCCAGTGACCGCTCGAGGATCCTCCTTCGTCGAAGTAGGTGGTGCTGGGGTCGTATCCCTCGCATACCCAGTGGCCGTCCGTCTCCACATCACGGCAGCCCAGGAAGGTGTGAGCGTCGTAAGCCCTCATCTTTTCCACCAGGTAGTCGGTCTCTGCTTGGGACTCCAACACCACCAGATCCCCCCCGATCCCGATGCAGTAGTCCCTAGAATCTTGCCAGTTTTTGCTCTCTTTGAGAAACCTGAAGCATTTCTGGCCCTGCACCTCCCAACCATCGGGACACGGACCTGATTGGAATAAAAAAAAAAAATAAGTGCGAGAGCACATTAGGCTCTGGTGAAAAATGCGACGCCGATGGCATACATGGAACATCATACTTTTGGTCAATTTTCTTTTCCTTCCAATTCTGGATACCGTCCAACCACTACACAAAATACCACGTGACTTTATAACGCGCCCATCATTTATTTTCCCTGCCCCTCTCTCCCCGGCTGCCCCAACCAAGACGTGCAGTGGTTTGAAGTGACAAAATCCCCACCCCTCGGGCACAATTAGAGTGACAATCTCCGACATACATTCGTGGGGTGCACTAGTGATTGTCTCATCCAACGCCAATGGTAACAATGTAATTTGAGTGACCAAAATCCCTCCCTGGGGCATGAAAAACGTGACCAGATCCTGACATCGGACCTGGGGCTGCGGGGGTCGGGGGGGGGGGGGCACTTGATAGTCGATCGAAACAAAACCCGTGTTCCGAAAGCTGTCTCAAGTTACAGACGACGGAATGGCATTTAGTCATTAGTCGAATGTTTTTGGTCAAAGGTTTTTAATCAATTTTCGGGGACAGACCGACCAACAGACCGACCACCAAGTGACATGTAGAAGCTCCTGCCAGAGCTGAAAAAGCGATGGCAATTGCATTTCGTAAAATACATTGGGAACCTAAAATTCGGAAGCTAAAGGGTGACGTTCGACATAGCCGTGTTCAATAGAGCGACTTTCTACTCAGTGACGTAACTATTTCTACGGCCGGGGCATTTTAGATTTGAGGATTTTGGTCCGCCCCCCCCCCCCACCACTTACCGACACAGATTTACGCCACTGGTTCTACTGCATTACCAAACACAGTCGATCGAAAATTGGCGTACATTTCGATTTTCTGCTTACCCTAGAGGAAAACAACTAATTACACGCTACGTCTAGGTAGCGTACATGTCATAACAATAAGGCATTCAAACTGCAAAGTCTAATGATTCAGGCAAAAACATTATTAAACTTGGTGTGCAACTGTTGTCGCTAGTTTCATTAAATGCCAGTCGTGATGACCTGTCTCGTGGGCTACGCCTGGTTCAGCACATTTTGATGAAAATAAGTTTTTAAGGAACCATCATCGGTACTCACGGTTACTGCGTCCTTGTATCCTTCACTTACACAAGAGCTTTTTCCCCCGGATTTAAAAAAAAAAAAAAAGCATACCATCATATACCATCGGGGAGTGCGAGTCATACCGAATACCTTCACATTTTATACTTGTATATACGTGCTTTTTCAAAATGTCGATTTTCTTTTCCGAGAGAAATTTAAAGGAATTTAATGTCCTGTAATAAATAAATTTGCTTGTTTGTTTTTGCAGGCCTTTATACAGTTTTTGAAATTGGTTTAAAATGGCACGTTCCAGTTCAGAAATTGCGCACACTATTCAGAACGACTTAGGAGCGTCCCCCTCTTAATTCAAAAGTTGAAATTAATTAATTAATAACATTATGTACTTGTCATGGGCATTTTTGCATAATGACAGACATTATGCAAAATAACCGCGCATACGCGTCGATCAAAACAAAACCCGCGTTCCGAGCGCTGTCATCAAGTTACAGACGACGAAATGGCATTTAGTCCATTAGTCGAATGTTTTTGGTCAAATAATTTTAATCAATTTTCGGGGACAGACCGACCAACAGACCGACCACCAAGTGACATGTAGAAGCTCCTGTCAGAGCTGAAAAAGCGATGGCAATTGCATTTCGTAAAATACATTGGGAACCTAAAATTCGGAAGCTAAAGGGTGACGTTCGACATAGCCGTGTTCAATAGAGCGACTTTCTACTCAGTGACGTAACTACCGATGGGGGGTGTGGATATATCCCCCACCACACTTTTTGACCAGGGCGATGGGCCAATAAATCATCCCCACCCTTTTTTTCTTGGTGAGAAACAAACAATTGCGGATTTTAAGGTTCTTTTCGAATTTCCCAATGCATTGTATAGCACTGAAAAACGGTGAAGAAACAGTACAAACGCTTTAAAGACGCGAGTACACATAATGATGACACTTGGACAAGGAACAGCGCACCCTAGTGTACCGAGGTGTCCAGCCAGCCAGCACCTCCCCCCTTCTTTTCGAATTTCCACGGCCGGGTAATTTTAGATTTGAGGATTTTGGTCCGCCCCCCCCCCCCCTCCACTTACCGACACGGATTTACGCCACTGGTTTTACTGCATTACCAAACACAGTCGATCGAAAATTGGCGTACATTTTAATTTTCTGCTTACCCTAGAGGAAAAAACTAATTACACGCTACGTCTAGGTAGCGAACATGTCATAACAATAAGGCATTCAAACTGATGATTCAGGCAAAACATTATTAAACTGAGTGGAAACCTGTTGCCGCTAGTTTCATTAAATGGCAGTCGTGATGACCTGTCTCGTGGGCTACGCCTGGTTCAGCACATTTTGATGAATAAGTTATTAAGGAACCATCAACGGTACTCATGGTTACTGCGTCCTTGAATCCTTCACTTACACAAGAGCTTTTTCCCCCGGATTTAAAAAAGGAAGAAAGCATACAATCATATACCACCGGGGAGTGCGAGTCATACTGAATACCTTAACATTTTATACTTGTACATTAAATTTTGTTTTAGGAAAAAAACGAATTCCAAATGTTTGAAGTTTTTGTGATATCTTCGTACACTCTGCGATTCAAAGGGATAAGAGTAATATAATTTAATGTATATATATATATATATTTTAATATAGGTTTTCCCGACGAATTTCCGAATTTTTCTAATCAGTTTCATTATCAGCCATTCAATTTCGCGTGAGTTTTGCACATGTGATAAAATTGGGGTTTCTTTATCATTTTGGGTTCATTCAATTTCATTTTTAGGCAGCCAAGATTTTGCTCTGAATGTTCGTATTCATTTTCGGGCAGCCTATTTCGTTTTGGCACATTCAAGACTTAACTTGTAGCAGTCTTAAATTAAGTCTTTGCAACCTTTTGACGGTTGACGCATTCAAATTAGCGAACATCTGTGCGCTTGTAACGTATAACCATGCTCTTCGTTTCTTATTCGTTTATGGGCAATCGCTTTCATCGTTTGGTAATTTAAATTAGTAAGGTTTTTTAATCGATATATTTTCGTATTTTTCTCCGAGGTTCATTTTCCCCCAAAAATCTCGATGACTGTAAAATTTACAATGTTACAAATTAACTGATATGAGGGAAACAAGATGTAATTACGAATTAATTAATTGAAAGGGACTAAGATAATTTCTTTTTCGCTGTTGATCTTTTCTGACTTGTTTAAACGTTTGAGCAAGGGGCATCTTTACGTTGACGATTTCTTGACGTACAAGACATGGCGACACGTAATGTATGGCAATGGTTGTACCATCGGGAACACTTCTCTTGCGTTATTTCTTAAATGTTTTCTTGCGTATGTCTGGCCGAACACTTACCGTATTCACAGGGCCCATGCAAAGTCAGTTTCTAATGCAAACCTTGAAAATACATCTTTGTGTCAAATTTAACCTTGTTTGCAAAGTTTTATTTTCCATTTTGAGGGGTGTATTTGGTGCCTCCTTCGTTTTTATGCTAATGCAAAGTTTCATATTCATTAGAAAACCTGTGATGGCATTCCGGGCATGATTAATGTTACACGACTATTTTAGCAAAAAAAGTTGCTAGAATGTTGCATTTTTGCTGTCATAACTTTCTTTTATTTGGTGATTATATGATGTGTCAGTACATGGTAGTAAGCCAATGACCAACCCTTTCCCACAAATGTTTTCAATTAGCAAATTTTGGATGAATAATTTGAAAGAAAAACCCCTAAACTGAACAGTGTCTTCCCGAAATGACATCACAGTGACAGCGCGCTCATACGTAGTCCGGAAAAGCATGGAAAAAAGTTTAAAGAAGTGCACTTTTGCAGCAAGATTAACCCCCCAAAAATTGTCAAATGTGTAGTTTTCTTACATTTCACAGTAGTAAAGAGTTGCACAATAATAATTCATGAGAAAAATTCATTGCACATACCCTTCAATTAAGAAAGAAAGGCATCTACGGATTGAAGTCATCAAATATGATTTACGCTAAGGACACGTGGGCCTATGAAGTCTTAAAAGATGTTTGACAAAATGTGAAATATGTTTGGCCATTAATGAAAACGAATGCCAGATCAACCCCTTACTAATGGTTTAGACGAAATTGAATGAACAACGCAAACCTTTTAATAGGAATGCATCTTTGATAGGGACGAGTGAAGCTAAAAGGCGATAGAATGCTCGGATAGGGAAAATTGAATGATTGTTTTTGATTGTCGAATGCCGATCTGCGTGATTTTTCAATTTCAATCTAAATTGAATGAGCCAGGCGTTAAATTAAATGAAAACTTGGTGAAATTGGCCGGGAAAACCTATAATATAATATATAACGTCAAGCCCATGTGTTACAAGTGAAGTTCAAGATGAAAATGTGAACAAGAAAGGCTATACGTTAAAGTTAGAATATACGTGCTTTTTCAAAATGTCGATTTTCTTTTCCGAGAGAAATTTAAAGGAATTTAATGTCCTGTAATAAATACATTTGCTTGTTTGTTTTTTGCAGGCCTTTTTGCAGTTTAAAAAATTTGGTTTCATGATGGCGCGCTCTAATTCAGAAATTGCGCACACTATTCAGAATGAATTAGGAGCGTCCCACTCTTAAATCAAAAGTTGAAATTAATTAAATGATAACATTAGGTACTTGTCATGGGCATTTTTACGTGCGATATCTAATTGAAAAGCTCACAATTAATGTAATGCTAGAAAATGATCAATTTAATTTGAAAATCTATTTTCTAGGTGACACACCCAAAAAGCAAGTACACACCAACTTTCAGCCATCTTCTTTTGAGTCGGTGAATAAAAAAAAATACTCTCCACCCTAGTAGTTGTTATAAAGATTTATAAAACTCAAGTGCTGAGGCTTTGAATTTAATATTTTAACTTTCACACGCGAAAATGCCATGTCTCCAGTCAGCTTTATGCTTCCCTGTCTGTAAAAGCTATTCTATAATTAACCTTCTCATTGAAAGGGTGTATCAATATTGAACGTCATTTTGTATGGATTACTGTGCTGTTGTTCTCTTTCCTCCTTGCATGGACTGGGGGGGGGGATTATTTCTCAAGCCTCCCGATGCTTTGCTGTGACTATTTCTAGGGACTGGGGATTTGGTTGTACGGACGGTCAGGCGGCAGTCAAAGACCGGAAATTAATGTAAGGTACCCGGTGCTCATAAAGAAAAAAGATTGAAAAAAAAAAAAAAAATTGGTTTTGTTTTTGTTCTACGAACAATTTTTTTAATTTCTGGTTTCGTTATAACAAAAGAAACACCCTACCTTATTCCGAGTTTGGGCGTCTGCAACCCCCTAAAAGGGCTTCATGTAATACCCACAAATAAATCGTCCCTGCGAGAGCCGACTTATTGTTTGACAGCTAATGATTTGAATGCTGTGAAGAAATAATCCAAAAACTAAACGTCGGTGGCTATTTTCGATCGGTGACTCGATCAGAATCGAACAGCTTTTTTTTTTCAAATTAAAATATCAAATGATAAAAAAAGTTTTTCCAGGTGAAACTCGAAAATAGCACGAGAACGCATCGTTATTAGTGCAAAGAGAACTAACAATATCATGTATTCCGAAGAGTGAAACTTAAGACTGCATGATTTACATTGAAAATCATTCTAATTTTACATTGATTTATTCTGGTTGTAAAAGGACTCTAGCAAGTAGAAAATCGAGCGAACCTGTACGTCTTGTTTCTTGTTTCAGTCGTTGGGAGTATACGTTTCGAATTGAGTGCATTTTATACTCTTTGAAGAAAAACAAAACATATGGAATAATGCATGGAACAGCCCAGTTTCTCTTGATTGTACTCAGCTTTACTCCCCCTAGTGGTTAGGGTTTGTGACTCTTGATCAGAGGGTCAGGAGTTCGAATCCAGTTGCTGGTCATATGTTGTGTCCTTGGGCGAGCATCTTCATTCCCACTTGCCTCTCTCCACCCAGGAGTGCAAATGGGTACCGGCATAAGCTGGGGAGTAACCTGCGATGGACTGGCATCCCATCCAGGGGGAATAGAAATATTCTCAGTCATTTTCATGCCACTGAAACCGGAGTTAAAAAGCCGGCCTGATGGGCCACATTGGCTCGTGACAGACTTTACTTTTCTCTCCCCTCTCCACTTCTGCATCCCGCCCTCCCCCTCCCTGTCTGCGAAAGTTTGTGATTTTGGGATGCTGCCTGGATTAAAAATGCATACCAATTTCGCAAACTTCTGAGAAAAAAAACCCGACTTTTATGTTGAGGACAAAATGAACTTGTCCAGTGAGAGCCGAATTGTCGTCTGGCAGCTAAAAAAGGTTGAATTTTATGAAGACATAATTTAATAACTAAACGCCTGTGGAGTTGGTTTTCGTTTGATGTCTCATTCAAAAGGGCAAATCTTCTATTTTGCTAGGAAGTAGCAATTAAAAAATATATATTTTTCATTTTACATTCGGAAACTAACACGGTGATGAATCTTTAAGGTAAATGTCTTGTTAAGATATCTTCAGCCCATCCATATACATGATTCGTTATCTGCTCCGAAAAAAATAATAAGCAATGCAATACAGAAGTAAAAACGAACCTAGTTATATTTGGGTTACATCTAGACCTTTGTTCCCCTTCTGTTGTTCTCCTTTGTTCCTATTGAAATATCAAACTCCAAAGCCTTTATGGGGTAGATTGATTTCTAAAGAGTTCCGTATGGGGTACATATAGTGTTCCGTTGTGTTTTCTGCCCCATAAGGAACCCTGTACATGCACAGCCCTTTTCGAAAGTCTTTCACGGACTAAAAACAAAGGCTACTCTTGCAGATAAAGGGGAACAACTTCAACATGAGGCACATCATGCGGGGGCCGCTCCCCCTTTTTATGCTAGCCTCAGCACTTTATAGGAGTTGTGAAAGAAAACACCCCTTCCCCGCTTTTACAAACGTTTTGCTAAAAAACAAACCCACAATAATTGAGCGGGGTGGGGGGAAGGGGGGGGGGGGTGCCACTCCCCCACCCCGGAAAAAAATTGAGCGGTGCACCCCCTCCCCTCTTAGTAACGCCATTGGGTAAAAGTGACGCAGATCGTTCGACTCTACTTACCGTTATTAGCAGGTGTTGTCGCATGAACTGCCAATAGGAACCAGGCCAGTGCCACCAGAGTCAAAATAAAGTGCAACATTGGGACTGATAGCTTGAGCTGTTTGCTGGATATCATCCATTTACCACCTGACGCCGTCATTGCAACCATGATCGCCACCCGGCGATCGCTGAACGCGCAGCAGCACTTCCTTATCGTCGGGATTGCCACTGTGGCTGTGGCTGTATCATTTGGCCAGGTTTAGTGCCAGTTGTGATGCGCATGCGCTAAAAGATTGATTTTTTTTCTTTCATATAGATTGGTTACTTGGAGACGTGGAGACGCGTAGTAGCAACGCGCTTCAGTGTGCAATATTACCCTCTTCGTCGCAAAAGCACATTGATTTTTCTTAATTCCTGACATATTATTAACGACCCATCAAATGTGTGGCGAAATAGGATTGCTAATTGAAAATGGCTTGCTTCGAGGTCTCCAAATTGCGTTGGGCTATAATTGGCGGGCTAATGGTTTAGTGTGTTGTATTTTATACCAAGTAGGTCGAGTCCAAAATTAAGATTACCAATCATTCTCATTTCATCCTGGTCATGCCCTCAGAATCTTCGAGGGTAAAGTATTAAGTTCAACTAGAGATAGTTGAGACGGTGTTGGGCCATGTTCGGTTTGATGGCTAGAAAACAAGTGGATTTTAAATTGATTTTAGAAGATTAAATCTAGAAATCTCTAATTGCTTGTAATTTGGTACACGATAACGTCATCATGACGTGATCACATTTTGCTCATCTTCAGTAGGTTGTGCATTCATGTATTCAAGTTGAAGTTGATATCAGTTTTCATGTTGACGAACAGTTCTGGAAACGATTTGGCAAGAAGAATAATAATAGTATACATTCTTACAATAACAATTGGTGTCGGGCTCATAGCCCAACACCCACAAAAAAAGTCCCAATCTCTCAGACGTTGAGTATTGATTACAGTTATAACATCAAAGTCAGCGTGACAAGGAGGCGAATACCTTGGGTTCCCATGACAGAAAAGCTGCCGATGATGGCGCTGATGATCCGCGGTGCATCATGGGAGTAGGTCGACATTCGTCCCCAAATTAATAAATAAGTCGCCAAATGAAACTCGTTGAGCACAAGGATATAAAGAACTTAACATTGCTAACAAATTTAGTTGGATTATTTTCTTTGGAAATAACATTTTTTTTTGTTTATTAAGCCTTGGGCTAACGTTTGTTAGCGCCCTGTATATTGTGAACGTCTTCTATTCAGTTTCAAAGAAGGAGAAACAAAATTCATCGGTGGCTTAAAGACATTTAGAATCATTTGCCAAAACTCAAAAGTGAAACTGCCAAAACAATTTGAAATATCCAACGTGATTGTAGGTAAAAAATAGGATCAAACATCCTGCGAAATCATTGCGCTTAGTATGCTGTCATTCTAAAAAAAAAAAAGAGGTATTATCGTTATTTTTCTCGCGTTGGTCAGGACCTATACTAACATCACGCTGTCAACGAAAACATATGCTTTGCGTCCAGAAAAATTAAGCTACATTTTCACAATTTGGTTCACAAAAGTGTACATCCTGAACCTTTAGCAGTTAAGGTTTTTAACATTCTTCTTTTGATATTGAGTGGCATTATTGGAAACAAACAAAATGCATGAACGGCAAATGTCATATTATATGCCCTTAAATTCCAAAAGATAACAGTTTTTTTTAATGCAAGATCGCTATCCATTTTGCAAATAAATATTTGTACTGCCGTTACATGCGTACGAGCCTTGTTTGTAAATATTTTAGTTTATTGCTTTTGAGTGTCATGCTTCGATGCTTACAGAATACATCTCGATTCTGCGGCCAAGGTGATGTAAACGCGCACACGTTTCCTCCATAGTGATGCGTTAAGTGTGAATAATGCAATTGTGTAACACGGTTCAGGAAGAGAACAGTTGATTGCATCTCAACAGTGATCGTTAAACTAAAGAGCAATAGAAAAGCACCGAATCAATCAATTTCCCCCCAATCTATGGTCCCCATGGCGACATTGCCTGACAACTTTCCCTCTACAGATATTATTATATCTTGCAATATCGTTGGATAATATGGAAGGCTACCATCTAGTTGGTGTGTCACGGTGTGTGATGTCACTATCAACAGCTCAAGATTTGCTTAATATTAAATTCACTATATACCCTCTGCACCCTTCAGCCATCTTTAAGTTTTCATGATATCACTTCGGGATGCAGACCCGTAAATCGAATTCCATAGACCTCAGCTATAATTACGAGTAGCCTACTTCCAAAAAAAATATTTAAAAATACTCACAAATATCCAAGGTATTTGAGACACCCATCAGATATGAAGCTTATTTCATCATCTTTCATTTTCAGGTTTGTTTTTTTCAGATGCAATTTTTGGGTGGTAATCCCATGACTTTTTGGGGAAAAAATCCATCCAAAGATGATCACCCGTAAAAGTAGTCCTGTGGCCCACTGCCATTTTGAAAAATGATGCGTGCGTTCCATTGCAAAATAGAGCAGTTTAGGGCCCAATTTCACCCAAATTTCACAGAAATACAAGCCCGCAATCCTGTGCACGGTTTTCACCCATCTTTTTTTTTACAAACCTTCAAAACCTTCAAGTTCATGGCCCACAAAATGTTCTGATAGCAAAGAACTTGAGGGCGTACAAATACGTGATTTGGCCCCCGTCGGCAATTCTGGGCCATGGGCAGGCGCGGATCCAGGAATTTTTTAGACGGGGGGCACACTGTTGTAAAAAAAAAAATCATTTGCTCCGAGAATTAATGCGAGCGCGGAGCGCGAAGCCCTAACGGCGTGGGGTCCGGGGCCCGCTTAAGGGCCCCGGGAAATTTTGGATTCTAGATGCTCTGTGGTGCAATCTGAGGCGATTCCTGGCTCCTTTCGACTGAATTAGTTCAGCAAAAGTTTTTAAGATAAGGATTTTTTAAAAACATACTCTTACTTTTACAAACTATTTTCCTCTTTATATTTTCTTGCTTTTATTTTTGAAAAGGAATTGTATTGACTTCGTTTTGTTAACTGTTGCAACGATGCGTTGTGACATTTGCTCCGAGGACTAATGCGAGGGTGGATCACGCCTGTCTTACCACGTGGGGTCCGGGGCCCGCTTAAGGGCCCCAGAAAATTGGAATTTCAGATGCTGTGTGGTGTATTCTGAGGGGACTCCTGGCCCCTTTTTCCCAGTTATTTGACCAAAATGTTTTAAGATTACGAGGATATTTTTCATTGGTTTTATAATATACTCTTTCGTTTACAAGCCTTTTATTTTTGTCTGTTTTTCACTTGTATGCCAAATATTTTTGTCTGCATAGTTATTTCCGTGCTTATTTTTGAAAAGGAATCGTATCTTGCAGTGATGAGTATAGGGCATCTGCCCGAAGACCAATGCGTAGCGCGAACATCTTTCGGCGTGGGGTCCGGGGCCCGCTTAAGGGCCCCGGGAAATTTTGGATTCTACATGCTCTGTGGTGCAATCTGAGGCGATTCCTGGCTCCTCTTCCCCGGAGTTATTTGACTAAATTTGTTTAAAGATTATAAGATTTTTTCATTGATTAAAATTACTCTTGCTTTTTACAAGCCTTCTCAGTTTCTTCTGTTCTTCACTTGATACCATGTATTTTCGTCTGCATGTCTTCGTGCAATATATTTTGAAAAAGGAATTGTAAAAACTTAGTTTGGTAGCTGGTGTAAGGATGCTTTCTATTAAATGTTCTGTTTGAAGTTGAAATTTTCAGTTATATCAACAAGAACAAACCACTTGAACATGTTAATCGAATTCAAGTTTAAAATTAGTGTAATTTAATCAAACTTAAACAGAGGAGCAACTAGCCTCCATTGTAACTTCACAGCTCAGTTTTATCTCATGACTACATAAATTAATCAAACGTCATCCAAGTTTCTCCCTCTTTTTTTGCATAATGTAAAATGCCCAAACATTTTAAAGAAATGTTCTTTTAATTCAGTCCAGTTTTAATTTCAAGAATAGGGCATATTACACGTGCATGTATTTGTAAATATACCATCGGCAGATAGGTGGAGCGGCAAGACAAATTGTGTGAGACATTGCGACTGGACATATAATTGACATTGGGTCTTTCGGCGCCATGGTACAATTTTGAAGGCGTATTCGTCATTTAGTTATGTAAAAAAACATTGCAGTAAATAATGGTTGACAATAACGTTGAGAAGTACACATCGGGAATAGGTGTATACCTCCCGGCTGGGACACGGATGCCGGCCCGCGTCGCCACCGGCGAACTACGATCAAATTTACGTCGCTTGCAATTCAAAGAGCAACACACTTGCGTTTCGTCTAGCTTGCAAGAGCATGTCTTGAGTGCTGATTGTTTTTGTCCTAAGAACAAACAGATCTCTTTTATGTACCAAAATTATCAGATTTGTATTTTCTGCAACGCCTAGTAACGTCAAAACCCAACTTTTGGATCTCAACTTTCTTCGTTAAAAAAATGTTTTATTGACGGATCCATGACCTTCAGGGGTGTTTCAATTTTTTCAGGGTTTTACATCGTTTCTCGAATAAAGTCTTTACGAATGATGACGTGACGTTGAAGAAGTCAATTTAAAACAAGGACATGTTTTGGACTCCGTGAAAAAGTATAATTTGTAATTCAAAAGCACGTGGAACTGATGGCAAATTGTTCTTACTAAAACACACCCTTGACCAATGGTGTGGTCCAAAGAGCAATGCACAACGTGTGTTTGAGCTGCATGTTCGTAGAGAATAAATCGTGTACATGTACGTTCTTACGAATCGGTTTAATAACGGTATATGCAGGGTGGGATCGCGGTTTATTTCGAAGCTTCTCGAGTTGAGTACGCAATGTTTGCAGGCTCAAGTTTAATATCGGTATTTTGTCAGTAAGGAGGTTCCCTCCTCTCCTCCTTTTCTGTCACCTCCTCCTCTTTTTCCCCCTTCTATTTTTTTTTTGGGACTCAAATTTGACGGGGGGCACGTGCCCCCGCGGCCCACCCCTGGATCCGCGCCTGATGGGCGTCGCCAGGATTTTTTTCTGGGGGGGGGGCGGCACATTCCCCCCTAAATCCCTGTACTTTCTCTAGCATATTCTTAAGCTATAATTTTTTTAGAGGGTGGGGGTGGGGGGGGGCGCATTTACCCACCCCACCCCCATTGACACCCTGTGGACGCCCATTTTGTTACATGTGTATAAAATTTATTTTTCATTTCCCCCCTTTTTCCTTCCCTCTTTTCTTCCTTTTTTTGCTTTTCCGGTGGGGGGGGGGGGGGGGGGGAGATGGGGGGGGGGGGGGCAATCGCCCCCTTACCCCATCCTGACGACGCCCATGTTCTGGGCCTATTTACACGTCTGCATCCTTTAGTGATAACTGGAATCCAGAACAGGTGTAATCATGTCCTCGTAGAACAAAAGCACGCACGCACCTCAAAGATGTGCACATGGCTGCAAAATAAAAAATCTATCGCGTAGTAGTTTTCAACGTCAAAATACAAAGGGCCAACATTTTTTCAAGATCGCCGAAACAACTGATTTCCGTAAAGCAAAACTCGCGTCTCGTCACAGGTATCACTGGACTGTAAAGAAAAAAAGTACATGTAATTAGAGCTAGAAAAAGTATACATCAAAAACATTTCACACTCACAATGGAAATATCACACAATGGGAATATCACTCTCCCCAGGATGCATAATTATGTGTCTCTCGTATGGAAGAAATACCGCTCTGTAGGATTGTGTACACATCACAAGCAGCTTGCCAAGGCATGACAAATGACAAGTAGCGGAAGTGATGGAGGCCTGCGAGAGCAAAGTACAATGCCCTTATGATAATCACCAAAGGCCTTGGCTATAGTATTAGTGTTCTCTCGTGCATTACACGCGCGTTGTGCAGGATTCAGTACATACAGCTATGCATTGAACAGGCAAACACTGTCCTAGACTGAGCACGCGGTGTCTTCGTACTAGAGCCAAGGAGAACTGTACCATCCAGAGGCCATTTTTAAGAAGCTATTTGAATTTTGGTTGCAGCCGGTCGCCAACTCTACGTAGGCTCTTAGTGGATTTTGACGACCGTTGATTTGGAGGGGACTGTAGTCGGTAATCAGTGGTAAGTGTGAATAGTGAAATACGGTGAAAGTTGATCCATGGTCCTCCATACACCAAAAAATAATGTCTCCCGTTTGCATTGATGCGGCCTTTGCGAGAGGGTATTTATATAGGCCCTATGCACCATTAGAAACCACATTACTGCAATGACACACATTTCTCCCTTATTTGTTTTCTATGAAAGTATGTTTGTGAATTAATAGGTTGATTTGCATTTGTTTTCGGCCATCCCAATGTTACTTAAGAAATCAGGCTAATTGTTTATAAGATGATAAGACAGACCCTGGGCCATATACATCTATACAGACGGGACACTTAATTAAGGAGTGTCCCTTCTCCGTCTCCCCATCCCATCACATCTCTCAAACCCTCGGATCAACACTTAAGTCAGTTGTAATGAATTGTGTGCACTGGTGAGCAATGATTTGGGGAGAGAAGATTTGGCTAAAGACATACAAAGAGGCACGTCCTTGGTTTGTTGGCACGCTGTCATTCCACAGGGCGCCGGATGAGTCAGCCTTCGCAAGCGCTGCAGCAAAATTAACATGTTGTCGGGGGACTGTTCAATATGAGGTGCTGCTTATTATGCAAAACAACTAGTCCCTCACCTAATGCACTGGTATTATTATTAGCCTATATTGTACGTATTATGTTACTGGTGTATGAAATGGAGTGCAGTTGTCAAAGCTTAAGCCAGTGCGCCCGAATGTTTTGTACATGACACAATGAAGTAAAGTTTTGAAATGTTCAATAAAGTCGAGCAGGAATTTTCAAATCGTTTGGGCCCCAAGGACGGAGACTTTTTAATGCATGATATTGTGTGTGTGCGCCTGTTTACAGACGTTAAGCCGTCGCTGATGGGTTTGTGACTCATTCGTGTCTCAATGTGGTGAATTTCGGCATGCGGTTTTCTTTGGCAAAAAAAAAAAAATGCATTGTATTGCTGATACTACCAAATAATCAAATAAAGGGGGGGGGTTGGCTATCCTCATCAGAAAGGGTCCAGCAAAAACCGTTCGAATGACAAGGATTTTGAATGTGCAACCTCAGGATCATCATACCAGCGCTCTAACCAGACATTTTTAACTTCTGAATTTTTGGGAGATCCTAGAATGTCAATATTATACATGTAGTAAAAAGTCACAATGTGTTATCTTGCATGGATACCCTATGAGTACTAGATTTAACAAAATTGATCTGCCTCTGAGATATTAGCCCGAATGGTATCTGATAGAATGCAATGAACACGCGTGTAATTTTTAATACATTTAACCCAAACGTACTTACCGAATTATTGTCAAAAAGCTTACTTGGATTAAAGATCGTACTGGTACTAGACACCCCATGAAATTATACCGTCTGGCTTGCTTTCATTTAGAAAAAATCAAGAAATGTAGGTGATTTCCAACAATCAGCCAATAGACCGATTTTTTTTAATGACAGTGTAATTTATATACTGGACGAATTCGTGTTTCTTGATCAAAAGGTTGTGCATGTTTTTTTTCGCTGTTTACTAGAAAAGCGTAATATCCACTGAGCTGAAACCTCAACGGGTTAGGTTGTGAACATTTTGGATTTTGAGTGTGCATTGAAAATGCATTAAATTAAAAGCGAACCAAGAGTTGTAATTTTGTATTAGTTATCCTAGGTCAAAATCTGGGACTTTCAAATGTGTGGTGATAGATAATGGTTTCACGAAACCAGTCTCGCGTGAACAAGGCTTTTGTTGAAAGGAGAGAAATGAATTACAATAGCAAAAAAGTAGGTTTCGTTTTAGGGGTTGGAGTTCAACCTCCTGACAGGAACAAAGTCACTGACTTCCAACTAGAAAAGAGAGCCAACAAAAAGGGTTGATGACGCGCACAACGACAAAGACATAATGTGGTTGTGTTAAAGGGCATTGTATATTTCCTGAAGTCCCCGAGTTATTTATGATTTGGATTGTTACCTTAGCATAATATCAAAGGTCTGGTTGAAGGAAACTAACCTAATGATTTACCGTTCCCGAGAAAAGACGGGGGAAACTAGGTTGTTTACATTGGACGCGGCTGACATTTTTTTTGGCATATGCATACGTATTTCCAGCCGGGTGCATTCAATGTATGGTCTTCGTTATGTGGGACAAATAATACACACATCGCCAATACGTCATGTTGCGGCAGGATTCACGACTAGCACCCAACAGCTCGATTTCTGAGAGTCTAAATATTGACTCTCGAATTCGTTCCTTGTACGAATAACACAAGACGGGTTATTAAAGGATGTGTGGGCATTTATGTCATATTTTTAAATGCTCTTTCCAGTTAATATCAGTTCGTTTAAAACGCGTTTTGTAGCCCAATTGGGCGCATTCCAGCGCCGCCCTTTAAATGGTTAACGTTTGGGGTCGATGACTTCAGTGAGGTGGCTGGGGCATGTCAAACTCCATGACGTACCCCGTGATAAATGACTTAAGGGTTTCCGGTACTAGTATGCGCCATGGATTGAATGCCAAAAAAATATATACAACCCACGGGGACAGAGTGGGTATTATTTGAACCTGGCGTTTTTGAGTTACTTTTATAAAGCACTGCCGATTCGACTAACATCATTATGCTCATTAACTATATTGCCGCAGCCGCACAAACTAAATGACTCCAGAGCATTACGTTTTGATGATGAAATGGAAGTGACAAGTTCTCTATGATTGCGGTAAATTATAAGAAACGGCCCAACCGTGTGCGCTTCAGAGTAGTTTTATAGTTTGAGGGCTGTCGAGAAGATTGTCACCAGTGCAAACTGCTGCTCGTAAAAATAAGCATCTGGAAAAAAAATCACACAACCTCCTTTTCACCATCGTTAATTAATTACCCAATCCAATCGAAACATCCATATTTCAACTGTTCGCAACATCTTTGTACAGCTTTATTTCCAGTCGTTTTTGTGTTTAACCAACGAGCGAGGATGACGACCGAAAACCTGAACGCCGTGTTCAATTTCTACGAGACGATCACCCCGCCGCCAGACTACCCCACCTTCGTGGACGGCTGGAAGAGTCTAGGCAGTTACGTGGAGACTCTGGATCATTATTTGGCCGCACAGCTCCACCGGAATGTCGACGAAAAGGGTGAGTTTTATCGGAACTTATTGGAACTTCATGCGACTTTAAAAGCTGCAGATGACACTTTCTATCTCAAATAATTAAAGCGGTCTGATGTTTCGATCTGAACAAGATCTGCTTCAAAGGCAAAACGACAGAGGTGTGCAAAAAAACAAACATGTGTTGACTCACAAGCAGTCAGGGTAGAGAGTAGAACACAAAAGAGGTATCAAATATGGGAACAGATCAATGTGGGTGAGGATCAAAGTGAAGGGAGTCGAAGAACGAACAAAGGACGGATTAAAAAGGGGACAGAACAAGGGGATTAATTGGGGAGGGGGCACACCAGAGTGGGTGAAGATAAGGCTAATAAAAAGTCGGTCTCTGGTCAGCGCGCGCGTCGATTTTAATCATGCGCGTCAAGCTTTTTTTTTCAAATTTTCCGCGGTAGCTACAACAGCGATCTCGATTGCTGCACCACCTCAAATTGCTGCACCACCTCAAGTTGTCACTCTGTCTGTCTGTCTGTCCCAATTGACCAAAAGTATGGTGTTCCATATGTGCCATCGGCGTCGCATTTAAAAGCTGGCAGGGATCATTTTGGTCGATTTCATGCAAGACTTTCGTGCAAGACTTCTTGCAACACGGCCAGAGCTTATTGTGCACTCGCAATTGTTTTCTCAAAAAAAATGTTTAGTAAATGATTAAGATAATTGCAAATTATCTTTTGGGCAATCAAAACAACATGTTTGACTACAAAACATTGCTCAGAGTCTCTTTGATATATAAGTCTCGTTTAAAAAAAAATCTCCCGCATTGTGTTTGTGCTCTGTGTAGGCAAGTTCCCGTTCGCCAACTTCTCCACGTTCACCGGCTCCCACGAGAGGATCATCACGGACTTCATGCACCCTGACCCAGAACTGATCAAGGCTGTGGTCAAGGGTCACGGCATGCCGGGAATTCAAGTCAATCACCCAGGTGATGCTTAGTTAAGAGAGTAGTAATTTCCCCCTTCAAGATATGGCAGACTCATTGTGAAAGTATTATTGGTTTTTGTATATTTTGGTAAATGTAAGAGTTTCCTAAACCAAATAGCGCCCTCCTGTGGTATTGTATTCACCATATCTCAAGAAGGCAAATGAGTCATTTGCATCGGTTGCAATGGGTGCGTTCGTTTACCTTCCCCGTTTATACGCTGGATAACATCATGGGAGGCCAAGAAATGAGGCTTTTCCAACGCTGCTGTGTATTTGCCTATAGCACTCTCACTCTATGGCAATTAAGGTCAAATGATTTTTTGACCTTAATTTTGGCGGGACTTTAAATACACTCCAGGCATACTGTCGTCTGCTTCGCTTATAAACTAGTTTTATTACTGTAACCAGATCAATAATTGCTGAAATCGGAGAAGGTGAGGTGAATTATCAAAAATATGTCCATCCAATTGAACATCGTTAATCATCGGCAATATTTTGTGTCGTAAATCTCTCCATTGTACTCACTTCGTATTCATATTCCCGCCATCTTTTATCTTCATGTCAACGAAATCGTCCATGTCATTACAACCGGACAGCCACCAGGGACCCACTCGCGAGCTGGGGCAGTGGTGGTTGACACCGGGGTAGACAGGGCCTACCCGTCTACCCGATATTCCCCAACACCGATGTTCCCTGATGGAATCCTTGGGATTAGGGTTAGGGTTGGGGCACATCGGTATTGGGGAACTTAGGTACTGGGGAACATAGGTATGCACCCGGGCAGACAGAGTATAACGACGTGATGGCTAACCGAACTCACTTATTGAAAGAGAGGTTCCACTGCATTTCAGTCACATGGATCAAGTTTTTTTGGACTTGAAGCTTACAAGCTTCCGTTGCGCCACGCGAAAGATTCCTTGGGTTGCACGTTACGTGAAAGTGAGCGAATGTGAGAACGTACAACTTGGATAAAACATCAGTGCCGCTTGACATTATGGTAAACGGACCCACCATTTGTCAAGTGTTCACATTATCTAGCTCCTATGGCTTTTAATTTTTATTTAATTTCGAGTTGGATATTTTCCGGTTAATTAAATTGTGAGCTTTGGGAATATTTAGTTTGATTATCAACAATGAAACAACGGATACGATCACCTTAAATTGCAGGTGGTTATGAAGAGATCGCCACACTGGATGGGAAGCCGATCATTCCAGACATGCCGCCCCGACTGGACTCACTGTTCATCTTGAGTGCTTACAGGGTAAGTAGTCAAAGTGCGGGTCATTTATGAAGTCAGTACGTGGCTTTGGAAGGTACAAAGCAAAGACCGAAGATGTGTTTGGAAAACAAGAGAAAGAGACAATGTCAAAGCTTCCTTAGTGCATGACCCGTTTTGGTGTCAGGTTAGCTCTTTGGGGGCAAATATTGGCAGAAGGGTGCTTTACAATGAATAGATGACAAATGACAACTATAATGATCGATGTTGTGGTGTGATAGAACGCAAGCAGGACCGCCTGCGGTCTGAAGACGGACAGAGCACACTGTCCGAAACGTTGAGTTCTACACTCAACCAACCGGTTCTTTTCAGAACCACATTTCTTCCAAGAAGAGATTGCGTTCCACATGATGTCCGGTGTTACCCGCAAACTTTACAATTGATCTCATTTGCCAGCTTCAAGTCATATGGACACAACTAAATAAATCCAAGATGGCGGCATCCGTGATTTTTTTTATTCTGAAACCAAAGGCCAGTCAATGACCATTTAGAGCATGTCACGTCATCTGATAACGGAATAGCTGTCAAACTTTTCTTGGAAATAAAAGGTGAGCATTTCCTTGAAAGGTGAGTTTTTAAGAAGGACAAATTCATGCTGTACATGTACTTTGGAGATAAATGAGTTCGCTGGGATCCGAATACGTATCCAAAAACTCAAACATCAACCACTAGATCGAGGTGGGTCTTCAATTTGCGCACGAAATGTAAACCTTGTAAAGTCATCTCAAATCTCGTAATATTCAAAAAAAAATTCTAGTCACGTGATATGTTTCAGGCATGCATATTCTGTTAAGTGACTTTACATGGTTGTAAAAGAAAATTTGCTAGTGGTCCAAGGGGCATCTAGACTCAAAACCTAACCCTGATTCTTTTGGAGGAAATTTACCCTAAATTTAGACTACTGTTTTGGAACTTTTCACAGAGTAAAGTCTCGGACACCGAACTAAGCAACAGCGGCGATCTGGAGACCACCTGGCGGCAGTGGGCGGGCATCAACGCCGTGAAAGAAGCCGCCCTGGCCGGGGTTAGCGTGGGCATAGCCGGGCTGTACAAGCGCTTCACCCCCGGCGAACCGTACAAAGCCGTGACGTACGTGATGAGGTGCGAGCTGGTCGGTCTGAAACAGGACGACAAAGCCGGTCAGGAGGTGGTCAAGATCATCAGAGATCTGGGGGCGCCAGAGGGTCTGGAATTGGTGGACAGCGCCCTCTATTGTCTTGACGCAGACACCATCAGTGTGGCTGCCAAATCAAAATAAGCGTGAGGGCGCTCGATTACCAGAAAAGCAGAAGAGTCATGAAATGACCAAAATATGCTGTGTTAGCTATTGCAACTAATCCAACTGTTCAGTGTCTTATTACTTAAAAATGCATGACTGTCAATACACCATCGTTATCAGCATCGTACACATGCAGGATAATTCTCACTAATTCTCAACTGCCTATAAATGTGCATGAAAAAAATCGCAGTTCAAATCTCTTTCATAATTCTTCATGAGCTTTAATGACTTTTCTTGTAATCCACTTTTAATCCTGATAAAACGTATATTTTTTTTTCGTCACAGTTCCAGAACTGGAAATGGTTTATTCAGCTGAAATCAGAGCAACATGAACGAAACGCCGTTGAATTACATCTGAATCTTCTTGAAACTTTTTTCTTTTCAGGTGAAATTGCTTTGCCTTTGAAAAGAGCAAACATCCTGTAAAACAGGCTGTGCATTTCAGAGTGATAGATCAAATCTCGTGTATTAAAAAACAGTTCTTCCATTTCCAATTCAAGCATTAGTCTAGCAAACTCTGAAAAACATCTGATCGCATAGAAATGTTTTGAGAGTGGATATAATACTCTGACATCGATAGGGCCTGAAAGTAAAAGGTCATGCGGTGAACTTCCGGAACTCCCCCGGCCCGCCTTTGGGTATTTTACACTGGGTTTCCCTTTCTCCTTCTGTAATTTTGGCAGACTGATTTCTTACCATAACCACCCAAAGAAAAACATCTCATGTTTTAATTTTATCTTGGTATTCTTCAAGTAAAATTGAGGCCAAAAAGCGAATTTCATAGTGTACGACCTTTCACATTCGGCATAGGTCTCCTTGCTCTGTACACGTTTCTGTTCACTTGCGTGAGAACGAGAATGTATAACGTTGTCAACATTTACCAGCCTACAGCGGATGGGTTCTAGATTTAGTGAGGTTGGCTTGAGCAGAGCATGGGTGCAAATCTACACACGGTCAATTTTAGATATGTTTTGCTTAAAAATTGATAACTGATGAGTCATTTAATTTTTTTTCACACAACTTTAATACCTTTCGAGACTCCTTGGGCTTCAATTTCACTTCAATTTTCACCTAATGATCGCCACAAATTGAAGAAATTCTCAAGTTACATTTGTCCGCATGTAGTTTAGATTTTCGGAAGTGAGACCTCAATGTTTGGTACGATATTTCTCCTCAAGTCAGGCAATTTAATAAACAGTTTCCACAGAGACATAGTAACAAGTTTACAAAGGACATTTTTCGGGGGTGATTTTCTTCAGAAGTCAATGACCCCCCCCCCCCCCCCCCCAATGCAAAAATCTTGAACCTTTGATGTTTCTATTTAAGGGTTCCGGAAGCACGCCACCATGAGTTAACTTTCACGCTCTATTGTTTATAGGAAATGACATGACAGATTCAGACTGCATCTGTTCAATAACATTGATGTATTTATCATTTATAAACAGATTTCTTTTTTTGCTGTTGATATATTATTCCAGGCAAATTTGCCTCTAAAACCAAAGTATCTATGACCAGCATGACATTTGTTACATCCGTTGTACAAAATGAAATTGCTATCATGTTAAGCTTTTGAACTTCATTATCCTCTGTCAATGGGAATATACAACATTTGCTTATGTTTTAATTTTCAGAAATGGTTGGATTTGGGGGGTTATTATTTTATAGCAAATATTGTTACACTGCAATTGTTTGAGGTGTTGTGTTCGTAGATGCTGGAAAAATCAAGAAAAACAATCATGTTTTTGAAGTCTAGGGCCCCGACCCCGCTTAACATGAAAGGGAGCAATTTATAGACGTCGGGGAATTGTAAGGTCAGGGAACCAGTCTAGCTGGCTTGTACCCGTTCATAGGGGTGTAATCGATTGCAAACAAAATGCGGACTAACTAAATATGGTAAGTTGGGGGCAGCATATTTGAAGAAAAAAAACACTTTTTTCCCAACGCTGGTCGGCCGATCAGAGTCAGCGTGGGAAATTGATACAAAAATTTCACTTTTCTCGAAAATGTCAGCACACCAGGTGCCATGATTTTACAGGATAAAATATAAACTTCCATTCACTAACAGTCCAGTAAGGTATTTCGTAATAATGTTTGGTAGTTTCGTTTCTTTTGCAAATGTTGTGTATACCATGTAAGGCATTTAAAAAAATATGTTGAATGGATGATTCGACTGTTCTTTTGTATTCCTTTATTTAGTTAATAAAAAGAACAATAGCATGATTCAATATAAACTTCCATTCACTAACAGTCCAGTAAGGTATTTCGTAATAATGTTTGGTAGTTTCGTTTCTTTTGCAAATGTTGTGTATACCATGTAAGGCATTTTAAAAAAATATGTTGAATACATGATTCGACTGTTCTTTTGTATTCCTTTATTTAGTTAATAAAAAGAACAATAGCATGATTCAAAGCCAGTGTTTGGATGTTGTTATTAATGTAAATCGAAAAACTGGGCGCAACTGACTGGATCATATTTGTATTCATGGTATACAGGCGGTCGCTATGGCGACTTCGCTTACATCGCCTCAATCTCAGGTCATTCCGAGTGGCTACGTCAGTTTCAAAACGCGCCCTTTTACCGTGACGTGGCACACTTTCCTCGTGCAATTCTAGTTCATGGGACTAGACGAGTTAAGTTTCGGATTCAAATTCGCATTCTAATACTTCCCTAAACGAAACACAATTAGAAAAGGAAATGCCCTCTTGTCAAAATAAATCAGTTCGTTCCACCGGGTGTCACAATGCAAACAGATCGCTACATACACGGATCGTTAATTCGCCATATGTGCCAACCGAATAATCAATCATAGGCAAGGGTACAAATATGAGGATAATAGTCAGTCGCAATAAACCACGTGTTGGTACTGTAATGACATCATGGGTTAAATCTGTGTCAACTCGTACGTGCCATAGCGTCCAAAGTTCGTAGCCCGACTGATTCGGTGGCATTATGCTGACACGTAGGCCTAATGCTTCTATTTTGGTCAACAATCGTCAGCTTTGATACGTTCAATAGATTTTTATGGGGGAGGGGGTGGTCGGGAAGCGAATGGTTAACTCAAAGAATTAGCCTGTTTGTGATATGGCGGACACAATATAGGAGGGCGTTGTTTGATTTGGGTAAAATCTTTTGTATTTACCCAAACCAAACAGCGCCCTCCGCCATAATATAGAATATTTTTCTAGTATAAATAAAAACGGCACTAATAAGAATTTCTTTAGAATGTTCAGTAAATTTGTAATTGCAGGGCGAGTCAAACAGAAAGTGACCAATAATTAGAAGAATTATTTTTTAAGTGGCTCTTGCCGTTGGTGGCACCACTTTCCCCCTTCATACTTCTCGAAAATAGGCCACATACACATCACCAAGGTCAAATCGTGGAACTAAACAACAAATGAGAACCGCTGGGGAGGGGGGGGGGCTGCATGGGTTTCAAGCCCCGAGCCCCTCCCCTTGGGTGCGCAACTGAGTACAAGTTATTGACAAGTAACTGTGAAGATTTCATGTAATTTGCACATTCTATTCACAAGTTGCGTCTATTTTGTACGAAAAACGCAACATTCAGCTGTCCAGTCCATCACTGATCATACACCGTTCTATGAACAATGGACGTTTTGCCACGTCATGAATGGAGAACCTTCAAAGGGAAACAAAACAAAATCTCCCTTAATATTTCAAAGAGAAAAAAAAACCAGATGACTTGTTCCTTATATTCAAACCACAAAATCTGACAATATCTGTGGTGTTTCAGTCTTGATTTAAAATTATTGATTAAAATCTCATTTGTATTCGAATGCTTGTGTGTCATCTGTAATTCTAACTCAGCTGATTAGCTCAGTTCCAATGGCATATTCCATGATATTTTAGTAAAACGTGCATAACATCTGATACAGCATGCATCAATTTTTTTGGGGGGGGGGGGGGGGCGGGAGCGATGAGTGTGAGATATATGCTCTTTTTTAGATATACTTCAATTGGTTACAGTGTTTCAAATTTATAATTGCTTTTGAAGAACAAAAATCATGATTCCTGTTTCTTTTTTCTTTTTACTCACCCTGTATTTCCGCCGCAAGGTCTCCACCAGGTTCATACGATTGACCTGTTATTGTTAAAATGCTAAGTAGCTCCATGGTTGAAGGTACGCTCTTAAAACATGCCCTTGACATATACAGCAATGAACTTTATTGGTACTCAACTACATGTAATAAAATGACTTTGTGTTAACTGTGTGAAATAGTATACGTGCTGGCGTCCAAAGTTCATAGCCCGGCCGTATTCATCAGTGGCATGATGCGGACACGTTATGCTTCTATTTTTAGTCCGACAACAATCGTCAGCTTTGAAATTGGGTTGGTAGAATCAAACTTGTTCTGGAGTTGTAGCCCGAGTTGTAGGCCAAGTGCATGTAGATGTACATACATGTATACACGAGGTCACACTCACAGTGTGCGCGCCGTTGTGTGTGTACATTTCACTGACTCAGTGTGATTGAGAATACACCGGCTTTTGTGTGCAGTCACACACTGCATGGCTGCCTGGCGTATTCGATACGATACAGTTTGAACCTGGATGTCTATTCATACAGCAGTCTCCTGTCTCGTAGCGAGCCAGCTCCGTGCTTGTTGTCGTACAAATACAGGAAGTAGACTGTCTGCAGTGTAAGTGTAGGTTTTAGCAGGAAACGTACCGGAGCGGAGACCTTCTAAAGATGGCGGATTACAGCAATGACATTGTCAGTGGGTTCACTAACGAGGGTTTCATGGACGATGTGCCAATTTTAGCCTCGTCACAACATAGTCCAGCCACACCAGATGAAGAACTCGGAGTCTCGAATGGCGGGCTTCCAAATCACAAGCCTCCGTGCCCTGCTGGAGACCATGTTAGCGCCGCCAACCCTCAGCCGTCCCGATCTGAGCAGGGATGTTTCAAAGGGCAACAGGCTGTGGACACTAGCGATGAGGATGACTCCCTGCCCGGGTCGTGCGGGTACTGCTGCTGGGTGCCGGCCTGCCTGCAGAAGGTGGCCTCCGGCCGGTACTTCGTGTTGTTTCTCAGCCTTCTCTCCCTGACCGAGGCCGGCCTGACGGTGGGCTACATCAGCAGCATGGTCACCAGCTTCGAGCTTCAGTTCCGATTCAGTAGCACGCTGACGGGTTTCGTGGTCAGTTGCTATGACATCGGCACCCTCGTGGTCATCCTGACGAGTTACTTCGGTGGCCGGGCGGCTGCTAACCGGCCCAAGTGGATCGCCTGGAGTGCCTGGGCCATGGCTCTGGGCTCGTCCATTGTAACCCTCCCTCATTTCCTCAAAAAGTACCAACCAAACGGCAACGATACCGTGGCCGATCTCTGTCATCCCAGTACATCGGTTGACTCGGCTCAGATAAACTTTGTATGGGACGAACTTGAACCCGCCTGCTTTCCGGATTCTTTTAGTACTATAGAGAGCTCTGCGCTAATCTTTCTAATCCCCGGGATGCTACTGGTCGGAGCTGGATCGACAGCGACGCTAACGCTAGGTGCGACGTACATCGACGATTACGTACGCAAGAAGGAAGCACCTATAATGCTTGGTGAGTTTTTGAATATCATTCAATTAATTATAGAATTTATAGCCCCTAGGTCCATGAAAACAAGAGAATTACAGTCTGACGTGATAACTGGCGAAGAGGTAAGTTAGATATTATCAGTTTCAAACTTTACAGTTTTTCTTGTGTTTTTTAATCCTTTTTTTGTGTCCTGAACCTGCGGACAATAAGGATAAAACCTGTGCCAAAATAGGCTATAAAGGTTTGAAAATATGGGACGCACCAAAGTGGCTATAAAATTATACCTCCTTTTAGTGGAGGAAGGATTTACGTCCCCTTCCCCCCCCCCCCCCCACAGCTGAGATGTTTTGGCATTTTAGATCGATGTTACACCATAGAGGAATAGGATAGATGCCATCAACATTGATAAAGAAACGGACTAAGCTATGCGACAACCAGATGATGGTCTTTGTACGTGGCGGAACAGCCTGAGAGATACAGATATACGAACAGCCTCTGCTAGTCGTTTCTCACAGGATGTTGCCATTCACACCATTACAAATCGGATATCTGCGAATATAAATTCGACGTGCCACCTCACACAACGTAAGGATAAGAATGATTTAAGCCTCAACAGCATGGGCGTAAATCCCAGGGCACACCTTGTGACGGGGGGGGGGGGGGGGGGTAGACTGGGCCATTGGATCATCCCCCAGTTTTTTTGTAGTGAGAAGCAAACAACCTGATTTTTTGGTTATCTTGTAACTTTCCAATAGTCAAAATATATTTAAAAAGGGAGAACAAACAGTAAACAAGCTTTAAATAAACCGTGTTGATTTTAGGTGGGGGGGGGGGGAGTTGCATAGCTGTACATTTTTATCGTGAACGGCGCCCCATAGTGGCTTTTTGTGTCCCCCACCTCACCCCACCCCACCCCACCCCCTTCCCCCTTGGCCGGGGGATTTTTTTGGGTCATCCCCCCACTCGCCTACACGGATTTACGCCACAGGCTCAACAGCAAAAATCACAAACCTATACATGTAGTCGGTAAATCATGACTTAAGACGTTGGACTCGTATAGGTTTCTGTGAGAATTAGTTCACTGAAGCACCCGCCTTGGTGGTATTTAATATTAGTAGTGTTTTCCTCCTCACCTAGGGAGGGATTTAGGTATTTTGTCTTAGAGGAATATTTACGAAATTAAGAGCAGCTACGCCTTCTCTGAGAGAATTGTTAATAAAATGGTTATCGTTAAATATGTTGCAGTATACTCTTGACGCTGTGTTGTAAAAGAGATAGATAACAGCTCGTGTATGGCCTTGAATTTTATTTGGCTTCAGTGGCAAAGATACAATGACATCATGTGTTTACTTTGTGGTCCCTGTTATGCGATCTCGGGCATGTCGTTCAAAGTTCATAGCCCGAGTGTTATGCCCAATTTGATGCAATTGTGCACTTAAAATCAAGTCCCCGTATCGGGCATAGTCTGGTTTCCTGACCCGACAATTTCCCGACGCCTTCCCCGAAGCCGAGTCTTCCAAATTGTAGAATCATTAGAAATAGTCAGAATCTTTTGGCCAGGGAACCAGACTACGTATTTGGGTGTTGTTGTTCGGCCAGCCCATTTTTCAATCGTAATTTTATCAGGCCTGCCCTCAGATGGAATCCCAAAACCACGGAGCTGATCCGCTATATTTACATAATCCAACCTTTCTGTTTAAGCCAAACTGTCTCCTTTTTCAAAAAAAAAGTTGTGGGGCACTATTCAGCTTTGTGCATGGACGCCTTTACTTGAACTGAGGTTTAAAAAAAGCCCTAACTCTTGTCTTATCACAAAAGTATACGCAAAATCGCCAATGTAACCATGACGGCCACTTTCAAACATTTACACTACATAGGTTTTAAATACTGAACAGTAATGCCATCTCTTTATTAATATTTACCAGAGACACTTTTGAATTCACTTAAAATCGAAGCTCATCACCCCTGCGAAATTGCACATTCTGGTATGGTCTGTAGGCCATTTTTCCAATGGGCTGGTTGCGCAAACATTACCGTTGTGATTTCGAATTCATATAAGGAGGCGGGATTCAGACCTAGCAAGTCATGCACATAACTTGCATACATTTTGATGAAAGCCTCCTAATGTATTTAGGATTCACTGCTAGCTACCTGCCCCCATACATGCCATATTTGATGTCCGAAGGACAATGGGAACAGGGAACCAGACTAGTGAATCGTAACGGTGCTTACATTGACTGATTGCTAGACCCTCAGTAAGCGTTCATATGTACCACGATTTATTGGGGCGGGAACCAGACATCCGTTCTGTACTTGATATATCGTTGAGGTCACACATTTTAAAGTGACTATTGTATTTTGTTTGTCATATACACACCCATGTTTGTTTTACGTACCTAGTGTGGACATTCCATTGTTTTTGTGTAGTTAGGCGAAGTAAAAAAAACAACAACATGTTTCTCGTCCCCGCCCGCTTCCTTTTTGGAGGCCGCCTGGATTTGTTTTATTATTTTTTATTTTTGAAAAATGCAGTAAAAAAAACACGGAAATGAATCACGACTTTTGGTGGTTAAAGCAAATGCATCTAAAACTGTTAATTGTAGACCAATACAACTCTAAATGACCCTGTAAATATGTTCAGTTCTCTTATCCAACTTGTCTTTCATTTTAAAGTATCTTTGAACAGTGGAAACACCAACGGTTGCAGGAAATTTTAAAATGGCGGCCATCTTGAAAGAAATAAAATATAAAAGCCCCTTTTCCTCCTTTTTTTTCAAAAACCCGGACGAGAAACATGTTTTTTTTTTATTCGGCCTTATACTGTACTTGTATTGGGTTTGCAGCAATATTGAAAGTGACATGACGCAAGAGGGCGGTATAAAAGGACGTTGCAGTTCAGTGGCTTATGCAACGGACATGCGACGGACAACACCCCAATATCTGCACAATTGACATGGTTTGAAATGTTCATTAATAAAAGCAACACTTAGTAGGGCAAACTGCTCCATAACGAATGTCAGTCATACGCTTCTGAAATGAGTCGACAAATCAAACTGGATTTGGTAAAATGATTATTAACCAACCAACCATGCACAGCGCAACACTTGTATTACCGAGCGTGGTCACTGCGAAAAAAACTGTTGTGTTAATTCACTGACTGTGACGGATAATAATGATGTCCTCGCTCATCGAAGCTCCATGAAGTCACCCATTTCATGTTGTTTACGAAGAAGATTGATTTACAAGGAAGTGACGCACATGTCCAGTCACTCTTGTCCGCGAGAAGGTGGCCTGCACGGGAGCTTTACTGTTACATCCAGCATTTGAGGAACCGGCTTAAACCTTCAAAGATGGAAGATTTAAGCGACATCGACATTATCCAAGTGTTTACTAACGAGGGTTACATGAACGATGGGTCAAGTTTAGCATTGTCACATATCCCAGCCACACCTGATGAAGAACTCGGAGTCCCAGGTAGTGGGCCTCCAGAGCAATGGGCCCGATGCGCGGCTAGCGTCGCCAACATTCCCTCGCAGCCGTCGCCATCCGAACAGGGATCCTCGCAAGGAGAGCAATCCCCTATGGAGGAGGAGGAGGATGAATCCCTGCCCGGGCCGTGCGGGTACTGCTGCTGGGTGCCGGCCTGCCTGCAGAAGGTGGCCTCCGGCCGGTACTTCGTGTTGTTCCTCAGCCTTCTCTCCCTGACTGAGGCCGGCCTGACGGTGGGCTACATCAGCAGCATGGTCACCAGCTTCGAGCTTCAGTTCCAATTCAGTAGCACGCTGACGGGTTTCGTGGTCAGTTGCTATGACATTGGCAGCCTCTTTGTCATCCTGACGAGTTACTTCGGTGGCCGGGCGGCTGCTAACCGGCCCAAGTGGATCGCCTGGAGTGCCTGGGCCATGGCTCTGGGCTCGACCATCGTAACACTCCCGCATTTCTTGATCTCCTACCAAACCAAGGGAAACGACACTATGGCCGAAATGTGTCATCCCAGCATACCAGTCAGTCCAGCGGAGGCGAATTCTGGTCGAAATGAACTTGAACCCGCCTGCCGACCAAGTGATGTCAGTAATGTGGATGGGTCGGCGCTGTTCTTTCTTATCACCGGACTGTTGATGATCGGAGCCGGTTTGACGTCGACGATCACGCTCGGTACGACGTACGTCGACGATTACGTACGAAAGAAGGAAGCCTCTGTAATGCTTGGTGAGTTTTTGACTGTCTATCGTTGTCTACCAGCCTACCGTGACAGGATTATTTATAGAAATGAGGTCTTTCTGTCTCCTCATGACCATGACCAATTATAGAATCACGCTCACGCGTGAATGACTGACGAAGAGATAAATTAGACATTACCGGTCTGATAATGAGTGGTATTGTCGTTCAGTGAGTGGGAAATAATCCCATCATTCATCAGGTCAAGTTCACTTGTCGACTTTCATTAAAACTCAGAATTGCTTGTCTATTCTCCATCCTTGGTCCCAGACAAAATATCTCGCAATATACCTCACAGGATCCGATTATAAAATGTGCTTTAGCTTCAAAAGTTAAAGAAAATAAACGTGATGAGTGATCGGCGATCATCGGTATGTAATGTTCTCGTCGCATTGACAGTCACTCGTGGAAGATGACTGACTCCCTTCATTGATTCTGAAACACATCATGAACAGTAACTTTCAAAACTCTAGTTACTGCTACAAATTATTTCTTGGTAATCATTTTAATAACTGTTTGAAGATATTATTACTTGAAATAGTACCTTTGGGAGATACCTTGTAGTAAATTTGCAGACCAGTAAATTTCCATAGACCTCAATGATAAATGCCCAACTTCAGAAATACAGGAAAAACATTCACAACTTTCTAAGGTATTCGAGACGCAAATCAAATGAAAGCTTATTTCATAATCTTTCATTTTCTTTTCAATTTTTTGGGGGGATAATCTGATGACTTTGGGGAGAAATTTCTATCCGAAGATGATCACCCCTTAAACTAGTGAAGCTCATCGCCATTTTGAAAAAC